CAATGGCCGGGCGGGAGCGATCGGGCGGCCGCCGTTCCGCCGCTGCTGCTCCGAGGCCTGAGTCGCTTTCAGAACGTGAGCGTGCTTAGTTACCGCACCGCGTAAAAATACCGCACTTGTAGGCTCAGCTTAGCGCCCCGGCGGCCGGTTCTGCGGGGAGGGATTTCACCAGCAGGAGCCATAAACGCTTCCCAAGCGTAGGAAAAGCCCTGAGGGGTCTTGCATCGCCTTCGCGGCTGTCGGTGCTGCTTACTGCCCTGCAACGGGCCTGCCTATGGACAGGGCCCCTTCTAATCCCGTAAAACCTGCTTTGTGTGTGTTGTGAGTCAAAGACACTGCAGAGACTGGGCAAGGAACACCCAGGGACAGGTACCGACCCCGCTTGCCGAACGCAGTTGGGTGGGGGAAGGAGGTCTGTGGTCAGCCTGTGAAGAATATCGTGGTGGTTCGTGTTAAAAATAGAATGGCTTTAATGGGAGGAGCAGGGGTGCTGCTGGTGTTTTGCTATGTACGTAAGTTGAAAAAGATTTACTGGAGTTTGTTAAAATGGTTTGGAGGTTTTGTATCGAGTAAATACAGACCCACATGGACAGTTGTTGCAAATGTGAAAAAGTACTGGAAACCCCCCTGTCGGAAGGACTCTTGTTTGAGCGAGAAAAGGAGTGGAAAAACAAAACAAAAAAAAAACCCACTCCCCAGCATACAGAACCTTTTATTTGTTTTGCTTGTTCTCATTTCAATAAATTCATAAAAGTTATTTTCTGGTTCTGCCTCTGCACTTATAACAAGCAGGTGTACAGATGCACTTTGAATAATGTTGCACTGTGATTTCCTAACTCTCCCGTCACTTCTGTTCTACAGGGAGCTTCCTTTGGCATTTTTGTATATAATTAAATAAACAGATTACGACATTGATAATATGCGCTGTAGAGATTTTGAGAAAAGAGTGATTTCCCAGTCAAGAGAGCAGCTGCTGTACAGACGTGTCACAAAAGTGGGATAGTTTGGACCCTGTAAGGAGGAAAAATACCCAGTCTACAGAAATGTGCAGTACACCTGTTTTGAAAAAAAAAAAATGAAGCTTTTCTAAGTAAGATTGTCATGTTAGAAGCAAGTCTACTGTGGCATAACAAGAGTGCCTTTGCACTCTACAGGTTCAAATCTGTGTCTGACTCAGATTTTCACAGCCTCTGCAGTCAGCAGTGATTTGCTGGTTTCCTGGAAGCATCTTTTTATAGAGGAGACTTTTGGTTTTGTTCTTTTGTTTTCCCTCGCTTGCCATTAGCAAACTATTGTCACAGCATATTATCCAAAGCTGTGTGGGAAATTGTCCTCTCTCCTCCCATGCTTCTTTGTTTATATAGGACCTGAAGGCTTTGTTCTAGTGTTTTGAAAGCCATCACTTTCATGGTGGACATTATATCAGCTGTTTATCTTCACCTGCGTTTACACTTGTATCTCTGCAGACCATCATCTGTTAAGGCTTTGATCCAGTGTTCTCTTTCCTTTCTCTGTTTTACAGTGTCTGGTAATGCAATGCAAAGTACACACAGTTTCTCTGTAACAGGGATATACTGTGCAGATTAATCCTCCATCACTAAATGTAGGAGAAGCCTGTCTTCTGGTTGAAAATAGAAGAAAACAACCTCCTTTAAGGAGAGAGGCTCGTAGCATGTGCATTGAATCCATCCCAACTTAATTACTTTGAGCAACACCTTAGCTGTTACAGAGCTGTCTGATGACTGATTACAGAGTGTGGCTGTGATTCCCTCCACATGGTTTTGTTGGAGCACTCAGGTTCTTTGTGAAGAGCATGAATTCGAAGGCCTTTCTTTGGGTAGCTTGGCCTGAAATAATCTGTTCTGTTTCTCTCTTAAATCAAAGATTTCCTCATAGGGCTTCACGTGGTCCTCCTTTGTGAAGCTGGACGTGGAGCAGTTCCCTTCTCTGAGCCTGAGCCTAGGGCTGACTTCTCAGGAGGAGGTGTGAGAAGGGAGCAACTCCAGCATTCTTTTGCAGGTAAGTTTTTGCTGTTTATGTTTTTCTTCCTAGTATTTAAGTTACTAGTATTTCAACAGGAACGGTTAAGTAGAACTCTCTTTGTGGATATTGTTCAAGTATTCCAGCATTTGAGTCATAAGTTTTTGTCAGTGCATTAATGAAGGCTTTGGTGAAACATCTTTGGTCATTGAGTCAAATCCCTATGCTAAAACTAAATTATTTCTCATGCAGTACTAAGATCTGGGGAAGGAATGTGTTTTCTAGGGTCATTTTATAAGATAGGTACCCAGCACGTCAGTGTAACTTGTTCTGTATCCTGTTATATAGCTCTTTCAATATGCTCTACAAATCAGGAGTCTCTAAGACTTACAGCTCTTGGATAATTAGCCCAATATATCTGACATACACTTGCTACAAATAACGATATAAAGAAAAAACCTGAACTGCAGATGATTTTGAATCTTTATGTCCGTTTCCTGATCAGTGTTTGTGACCTCTCTAAGTGCTGCCTTGGTTAACTAAACGCTGCCTTGCTTAACTCTCAGGAGGCTGAGCTAGGTAACATCATTGTTAGTATTCGATTTCACTTGTTCGTTTGCATTTAATATGCAAGTTTGGCACTCAGTTAAAAATAGCAGCCAGAATGTTGGAGGGAGGGGGAAACAGAACAAAACAAAATGGTTCAAGAGAGTCAGCTAAATGGAGCATAATTTTGCTGTGGAGGCTTTTGGGTTTTTTTCATGACTTTTCATCACTCTTCCTCATTTTTATCTTTCTCATTCTTTACAGAAGGATGAGTCAGTTTCATTCCAAAAAGCTCAAGATGTCCAGTAGGCAGTAGGAGCAGAGAGTGGAATTCCAAGGAGGTCTTGCAGTAAATGGCATTCCCAGCCCTCAGTAAGGCGAATAAAACCATTCATTTTGCCATACTTTTAGAGGTATTAGTAGGATTGCACATAGTGTCAAAGTCTGTGGTCTGCAGACCTGGAAGTTTGACCACTACCAGCTAAAGTAGCAGAAAATTATTGGACACCTGCATAAATATTATATGGTGGGAAAGAGCCAATGTGGCTTTTGTAATGGAAAGTCATGCCTTAAAAAAATCTTGGAATTCTCTGAAGGTCTAAATAGGCATGTTGAGAGCTCTGGCTTACAGTCTGTACTCAAATTTCAGAAAGCTTTGAAACAGGAGCCTTCACCTGAGCAGCCCTTGACATAATAAGGGAGTTCCCTGTCCTAAATAAACAATTGGTGCAAAGATAGGAAAGAGAATATGAGTAAACGGGCAGCCCTTGTGGTGACTGGAAGTCACTGTTGGGGTGTCTCAGGAATGTTTTGTAAATGACCTGGAAAAACAATGTTTCCAGCTGGCTTTACCTTATTTAAGGTGGTAAAGAAGAGGGCTGAGGGTGATGAGTTGCAAATGTAAAGTGATTCATGGGGGTGGGAATCAGGCCTAATTTCACACACAAAATGAGTGAGTTTTTGGAGCCATAATGACTAATTCTATGAAGCTTTCTTTCAGTAAAGCCTCAGTTTGGATAGTTTTACACAGGCTCAGGGATGACTCCATAAGCTCACAGTTACCAAGTACACAGAAACTCTGCCTGGTTCAGAAGGTTCTGCTCCGGAGTCCTGGGGGATGTGTGCTGCTGCTTCCCTAGGCTCCTGCTTTGGACCTGTGCTGCAGAGCAGGGTACAGGGAGAGGCATCCTTGGGTCTCACCCAGCATTGCCTGCTCCTGTATCCCCACATAAGATCTGTACACTTGGGAACTGGTATGAGGAACTGTCTCTCCAGAAGTGGCAGTGTGTTCTTACGTGTGCTGCTTCATCGTGCTGTCAGAGAGATGTGTGCATGAGGAAAACTTTGCAGCTGCAGGTATCTGGACCTGTGAGCCAAAAGTACATGCAAATTACTGGTGGGGTTTGGGGTTTTTTACCTCCTTTTAATGAAAGCTCATTAAGCACGTAAGGAAATACCTACAAATGCAGTTTTATTAGAAGGATTAAAGAAGCTGTTGTAGACTCAGTTGTGCCTTGACTACAGGGTGTATCTGCCACTGAGCTGTATTTTACACCGATTGTCTTTCTGATTCTGCCTTGCAGGGTCCCTGAACGCTGGCCCGAGACTAGCCCAGCAGCCCTGAAGACTTCAGGCACTTTTGCGGAGTTATTCAGGTCTTGATCTTCCTTTTCTAACTTCCATACTTTTTTTTTTTTTTTTTCTGCATGTACACACGGGCTTAACAAATTGTAGCTAGTTACAACAGGATTAGTGAAAAGTGATTAAACCCAGAGATGATCCTTATTTTAGGCACAGAAGTAGAATTTGTTTTACTATACATGCAAGAAAATCTAGAGGGGAATGAAGAGTTGAAGAATTTGTAGATTTAGACGTGCAGAGATTGTGTCCCTTGCTTCCCAAATACACAGGTCTTGGGCACTTGAGCTGTACGGTGTTCTACAGTGTGCTTTTTCACAGGCAAGAAGGAATTTGTGTGTGCGAGCAACATCTATACAGACAGCGTAGATAGGCTTTGAGGCATAGAGTTTGATGTTTCATATCTTGGTATGAACAAGCAGGGAGACAAAGGGTAGACTGAGGGTCTTATGGATTTCCGAGACGGTATTGCAGTCCTCTCGTTCTGTTTTTAAAGCAATCACATTTCTGTTATGTGACCCATTTCTCATGACGAAGGCAGTTTCCTACTGCTGTTTCTAATGAGAGTTGAAGATGCTGAGATCTGTCTAGGATCAGCCCATAGCAATGAAATTACAAGTGCCCTGGGGCTGCCAGTATAACATTTACATGAGAGCACTTGCAGCTTTTAAGAATTACTTAATTGGAAATGCAATAGGTGCCAGGCAACTCAGATCCTGTTTCTGATGTTGCATTCCATAAGAGCACAAATTACCAAATGAGTTAATGCTCAACTCAAATTGGCCATGTTTTCAGCATGTCTTTATGTGTGGCTGATGAAGTGGAAGTTCCAGTTAATAATGTCAGAGAAGGCTGGAGGTGCTGTCTTCAGTGTGAAACGTTCCCTCGATGGAGTCTTTTACTGGGTCAGCCTGATAGAGGGAAGCGTCCCTCCTCCGTCCCTTCCTTCCTGCAACCCTTTTTCCTCTTTGCACCCCTTCTCCTAGACAGGACTCTCAGTTGCAAAGGCCACCAGGCAGTTTTTTCTGAGGCAGGCTGGTGACTTCTGACAAAATTTTTGAGGATTCCCACCAGGTGAAAATCACAGTTCAGAGCAAAACACCTGGCATAGAGCTGGCAAGTCTCTGATGTCACTGAATTATTGAAACAAAGATTTAGGAGAAGAAAACATCCCATCTCTCTGCAAGTTGTGCCAATGTGATTTTTTTTTTTTTTTTTTTTTTTTTTTTTTTTTTTTGTCTGGATTCTTCTGGAGTAAAATGTAACACTGTTGGGGAATTGGCCGCAGTGTAGCAATGCTGAATTTGTTTCAGTCTAGTTCAAGGAAACTATGGCTGGTGGATCTTTCTTTGTGAGAAACGTCAGAGCAAGATAAAGATTGTTTCTGATGGGGAAAGTTTTTGTAGTCATTTTTAAAAGCTGATGGTCCTGGTGAAAAATTAGTGGCAGCAGCTAGTAGATTATGTGTATACTTCCCTTGCAGGTTCAGCTGTACGTAGGATTCTTTCTCCATCTCTGATTATTTATGATGTTGAACTTTTGCTTTTTTCCCCTTATGTCCACATGTGGTTGAATTTCAGAACTGATGAGGCATCTTCTAAAACCCAGTTTCTTTGCACTGTCTTGTAAGAGTCCTTTCTTGAGGACTAATTTTCAAATTTAGTATCAATGGGGGAATTTTAAAAGTTTGGTTTCGGCTCTTCGTGTGTTCAGTATAGGAAAAGTGCATTCCCCACTGTTTTCATAGCTTTTTGTGTAAAAACTAAAGAGCATCTCCAGCGATGCCCCAGGTGGGAGTTGGTCTTCTGCTAGACCATCATAAAATTGCAAATTGTTCTTGAGTTTGAGCTAATGTTGCACTGTTGGTAACATGTCCAGAATCTCTTAGCCTATTTCCCAGTGCTTCATACAGTGAATAAATAAGTTTGTTCCTGTTCAACAGGTATGAGGACTGTGGCACAGAAAAAGAAACATTTAACTTTTTGAAGCTTAAATAGTAAATTGGTGACAAACCTGGAAGAACAATTACAGGTTTTGCAGTTGCCTCAAATACATTCTGTTGACTGGAACAGACTGCTCTTCATCTTTCTTGGTATGTTGAACTTAAAGCTTATTTTTTGGAGGTTCTAACCCAAACGTTTCTGCGGCATGATAAACAAGTTTGACTCTAATTGTAAAAAGGGCATCTCCCAACTCAAATGTTCTGTGTCCTGGGGAGTTTTAGATTCTGACCCAGTAACATTAGTGTTTAAAATGATTTTGTGGACTTTGTCAGCACAATTTTTGAGGTGGCTGTTGCCTATTTTTTTCCGTCTACTTTACAGATTACATTAGTCCTTGGTAAAAAGTGTATAGTATTGTTTCATCTTTGTTTTCAATTTCTGAATTTCCTAACCTAAAACTTCTGTGGAGCAGAACTGCTTTTTAGCTGCAGTCCTTAAAAGATGAATACTCAAACTGCAGTTTTCTATTTGCTTAATAGTAGAGCCCAGTATTTGCCTAGCCTGATGTAGACACAGCTAAATCTGTCACCTGCTTCTGTAGTTTTGCCTAGGTTGTCCAATTAGTTACTGCTTTCAGATTAATTGTTCTGGAGACATGTGTAAAAATAAGAGTTTGTGGACATTAGTTACTTCTTAAATTAAGCTTTATATTCCTAATTATGATTATATTGATTTTTTAGAGCTATGCCAAGAAAAAGAAAGCTGTTGGCTCAATTAAGTGCTCTCCAAAGCAACTCGAGTGTCCCTCCATTTGATGCCTTGGGGAACCTGAACACTACGCCTGCTGGGGATTCTTCTCCAAAAAGCAGCAAATATTTTGCGATAGAGAAAAAAAGTTCCTGCCAGCTAGAAGCAGATTTTTTCAACCAGCCCTGTATTAGTCTGGCCAAGTCCTTTCTGGGACAGGTAAGACATGAACACTGAGATTACTGTACTGAAGCATGTGCTAGTGAATAACTTGGAGTAAAAGGATGAAATTTTTTTTTTTTTGTCATTTGACTCCAAGGCTTTGCTATTTTAAGAATACAGTTCTCATTCCTTCTCTTGTTAAGTGCAGTGGAATTTAAAGACTAGTAGCCAAATCTATTTTGGATGTAGTCAGAGGAGTATTTTTTTCAGGTTTAGTTTACTGTCACATTTCAGAATTAGTTTTTTGTGGAGTTTTTCTCTCTTTTTTTTTTTTCTGGTTTACTGAAATGTACTTTTCTGGTTGTGGTTTGAAGGTTGTTTCTGGCCCATTATTTCCCTTTCAGGTATGCCTTTATTTGTTTTTTGCTCTTGCTTAGCCCAGTGGAAGGTAATGCTCTGCAGTCAGCAAGGTCTCCTCCTCTGCCTCCATTTCACTCTCCTGTGATGCTGATAGCGTGGCAGCCCGTGGCCCTTCTTAACCAGTATCCACTGCCATAGCGTACTCGAATATTTCATACTTACCATGCGAGTTCAGCAGGCTGCTTGGTACTTTGTTTTATGCTGCCCTGAATGCTTCGAAAGTTGCATCTCATACTACCTGCTTTTATTTTTGCTGTTCTGACTAACTCGATACTGCCAGCACACGTGGTGAGCTCGCGAACAGTCCTGTTCCCCCAGAATAACCTTTCTGAGGGTATTGACACAAATACGTGAGGCAGCCCAGGCCCCGGCGTGGAGATGTTTAGGACTCCACAGTTCCAATTAAACTCTCTTCACTCCAAAATCTGCTATTCCTGTCGTTTATTTCTGAGTTTTCAAGTCGTTACTTGTTCATGAAAGGACCTTCTTCATTATCCCATTGTAGAACTTTGAGGAATTTTTGGACTTTGTTGAAAGCCTTTGGAAATCAGAGCGGGGGAGATTGAATGTGTCTCTTCTGCGTAGTGAGTCCTTAAAAAAACTCTCTGCTTTTTCCACGGGAGGGAGTTTCTCCAGTGTTTTCCCTGTAAAGAGTTCCAGTCTGGGACCTCCTAAACAACAATTTGCAAAATGTGTTTTTAGTTTCACTGCTGTGGTCTTATCTTCTGTGAGTCTTTTTTATAACTTTATTGTCTGTAGGGTGAACGGGTTTTCTGGGTTCTCATTCATTTAGATAACTTCAGGAATTTTTTCCACAAACTGTTGGTTTTGGCCTGTCTCACTGTGTCTAGCTTTTTTTTTTTAATGTTTTTTCTAGGGATATTGTCTTGCTTGTAATTGACGCCTTTGCTCTGCTTTTTAACCCTGCTGGGGTTTTTTTGGTCTGTCTTAACCTCTCTCTGATACGTAGTGTGTTTGCTATCTTTATGGACATCCTGCTAGAGGCTTGCCTTTCCAGTTTTAACCTTTGGCTGCCTCTTTTAAGTTCTTCCTAACAAGCTTCCTCACTGTATGTAGTTTCCCCTTTTTGCTGGGAAGCAGAACTCTGATAGATTATTTTTGGACCTTAATGCTTGTGGAAGGACACTGAACTTTATACTCCATGGTCATTCCAGAGTTGTTTTTCAGGGATAAGCCTTTGGAAAGGACTTTGCATTTTGCTCTGGTTCTGTTTGAGAGCTTAAGTCTTTTCTTGAGAGATCCCTGATTACTCGCTCTGCAAAGCATTTGATGGTGCCTTAAACATGGCCTGTGTCCTGTCCTGCTGTGGTATTTACTTGGTCTGCAGGAGGATACCTGAAGTCTCCCAGTACTGATGCATTTTTTTTGTTGTCTTCATGACTCTGACATCCTAATGCATTCAGCCACCCTGGGCAGATGATATTGAAGTCCTAATTCTATGCTTTTTCCTATTTAGGCCTAGAATTACAAGCCAGGCTATTCTATCTTCTTTATAACGCCCAGTCCCCCATGACCCAGTCTATTCTGTCATTTTCTTAGAATTATAAGGGTAATTTAGTGTTTCATTCATTATCTTCATTGTATCAGATTTTGGAGGTGGCTAGTTATATTGTTTACCTTAAACATGATACTTGAGTTCTCGGAAACAAAAAAATACCCCAAAATATAATAAATATATTTAATATTATTGTATATTATATTATTTAATAATATCATATATTATTGTATTATTGTATTGTTATAATACAATAAATGGCCTTTCAAAATGAACTGTCATAGCACCAAGATACATCCTCAGTGAGAAATAAAAACCTCTCTAAGGTAGTTTACTGTGAGGGATTGTGGATGATCACCATTTTTTTGTTTACTGTTTTAACTGTGAATATTCGGTGTGTCTGAAGAGTCAGGGAAATGCCTGCATGCTTTTAACATCATAACCTAACCACTGCATTTTATCATATTGAAAGAGAAATGCAGCCTCATGGGTGTTTACAGCTTTCGAGGTGTTTACAGGCAGTTGATAAACTCCAGTGCTTTTCCAAAATCACTGTGTTTTTCATGGAAATAATAAACTGTTTCCAGTGATTTTTGACAAGTGCTGTAGGGAAACCGTGATATGCTGGAGTCACAACATTTGAAGGTGCCTTCTGGAGCACCCACAGATCGGGTCAATAACTGCATCAGCGATCCAGCACAAACATCTGTGAGGAATGAAGCTTTGTTTCTTGAAGGTCACTGTTGAATGGCTGGTTTTCAACCATGGCAGCACTGAATGTAGTATAATTCAACTGACAGCTGTTGCCTAAGCGAGACTATTACTGCAGGATTTCTTAAACACACATTAAGTAAAATCAAGTTTAGAAATCGGGTCAAACCACAAAACTTCATACAAAGTTCAGTGACTGTTTTATTTTTAAAGAGAATCTTTTCACTGTCATGTGCTTTTTTTTTTTTTTTTTTCCCCCCTGCATCTGCTTTGTTTTATTTAAGGAGGTATCAGCAGTGAGGAACACACTGTCATAACAAAGATCTGTTGTTGTCTGCCTGAAGCCAATTCCCAGCTTCCCTGCACTGCCCCTCTCTGGGGTGCAGAAAATACAGAAATAGCATTGATACTCACTCTGGTCATGATTATGGTTAGGGACTAGGACTTATTTGGAACATCTCTATGGAGATTCTATCTAATCATGGTAGTTAATTAATTGTGTTTAACTGTGCCACTGTCGTATTTCTTCTGATCTAAAGAATATATATTCGTGATGCTTCAAGGTTGATGTTGGTCATGCGTTTTTGCCTCAAACCTGGTGGACTGGAGTGGAGAATACAGAAAATAACCACAAAAGCAACTCTGTGGGCTTTATAGGATCATGAATTCGTTCGTTATGGTACTGCCACATCTAAACACTCCAGACGTCTTGTGGGGTGAATGTCCTGAGGTGTGGCCTGGACGGTAGAAGCTGAAAAATCTCACGTTAGCTAGACACTGGACTGGTGAGGGGAGAGGACAGTAGGTAGCACCATCAGGGCCTTTTTGAGGACTTCTTTGTTTCCACAGCTCGTGCGCTCTGGTGGTGTTGCGCAGAGGTTACTGACTGACACACTCTGACCTCTCTTTCAGATTTTAGTTCGCAAACTTCCTGATGGCAGAGAACTCTGGGGGAGGATTGTTGAAACAGAGCTTATCTGGGTGGGGAAGATGAAGCTTCCCACTCAAAAGGTGGGAAGCAAACTCAACGCAACGCAGCAATGTTCATGAAACCAGGAACCCTGTACGTGTATCAGATCTACGGGATTTATTTCTGCGTGAATGTTTCCAGCCAAGGTAAGGTGAGGCTGAAAGAGATGTAACGCCTACAGCACAGGGATGATATTCCAAGCTACACGTGCTGTGTTGCAGTCGCTTGTGAGCTCCCTGGGGGCTCTGTGAAGTCAGTGACTTGCTGCCAGTCTTTCCTTGGAACCGGGGTTTTGCCACTGTGAACAGTACGTGGCTGTGGACACACAGGGTGTTGACTTTCAGCATTACAGGCAGGGCCCATCTCCAGCGGCATGGTGGCCAGCCCAGTGGGGTTTTGGTCCCAGCTGTGAGCTGTGTGAGCTGTGCAGGAACAGAAATAAAGACTAAGAACTGGAGGAGAATCTTGATAGGATGGAGCTTTCAGTTTTAATGGCCTGGCTGCTGCCTTATTCATGTGATTCACTGAACTTTGTTCCTTGAAAGTGGTGATGTAGAAGTCAACTTGCAGTCTAACTTAAATCTTGGTGTCTGTTATCAGGACAAGAAACTCTTCTGTCTCCTACCTTTATCTTCAGAAGTTGTAAATGTTGGGGAAAACAAAAAGGTCTGAGATATCCTAAGCAAGGAGTCAATGTAGAGTGTTTTAGCTGCTTTGCTGTATCTTAAAACCGAAAAAAAACCCCAACCCCAAGTCAAAATACCCAGACTGTTACAGAATCTTCAATCTTCTTTTATTATTCTCAAGATAATATAATAAACCCCTAATCAGATTATTCTGGAATTTACTCAGACTCTCCTTCCACAGCTCCTCTTAACATGCAAGTGCTACTTCTAAACTTGGGGTTTTTATTCTTTCCTGTAAGAATGACAGTGTTTGCCTTGCAATAAAGCTATTGGTTAATCAGACACCTTGAAACAGCAGCAGGTATTTTATGATAAATACTCATTTTGTTAGAAAAAAAAAAATCTTAAAAAGAATTTCTTTTTGGCCATTTCAAAGATACAGCTTCATAAAACCCCATCACTTGTATATTCCTAAGTGGAAAGCGCATGTTGTAACAGTGACCGTTAATCCTCGGGTTTCGGCCTTTGGACAGGAGCCACGTGGGAAACCAGTGCCAGGTTATACTGTGGGAAGAGCCTGTCTTCCTAAATGGAGGTCTGGAGTCTGGTGGGTGAACACATGTGAACTTCATTACACTGTCTCTGCCAAATCTGTTCAGATAATGAAAGCAGAACGGTTCATTTTTCAGGATGGGATTCTTTAGTGTTTGAAATAGTAGGCAGAACGGTTCATTTTTCAGGATGGGATTCTTTAGTGTTTGAAATAGTAGGAATAAGAATTTTTATTAAAAAAAGATGCTTAGCCTTTGAATTCTAAAAAGATTTCTTTGAAGTGTATACTTTGGGAAATTTTCCCTTATGTACCTGTGTTTAGTTTTGTAGCAAATCAGTTGGAGAGCTCACTGTTGTGATGGATTTAGTTGGGGTTTTTTGTTACAAACTTAGTCTCCACTGGCCTGTGGTACCTGCAGCTATGCTGACACCTGGCACAGCTGTCACTGCCAGCTTTGTCAGGGACACACGGAAGCAAATACACACCAGGCAGAGCCGTGCTATCACAGATGCACCTACACCAGTAGGATTTACTCCTTCGGTATATTTGCCCACGTGTTGAAAGAAAGAATTTGAAGAGGAATCATACCTGAGATGCTTTTCTCATCTTAACACAGACTGAGAAGCAGCCTGCCCTGTTAGTCTGAGGAGGGATTGAGGAAGTCCTCTTCTGTGGTGGCACTACGTGCCTGGGTAGAAGGCAAAAGCATCTCATTCTCCGGCTGTGGGACAGGTCTTGGAAACTTTGTTTTGAATCTGGTGTGCAGAAAACACAAGGAAACACTGGTTAAAAAAAAAAAAAAGAAAAAAAAAAAAGAAAAAAAAAGAGCAGCCTCTTGTGGCATAACTTGGTCCTTCTTAGTAGCACAGACCACACTTACAGCATGAACTTCTGATGTAATAGGATTTCATCATCTCTGTGCAGGGAATTTGATGCAAACTATCTGAGTACTGCAGCGTCTCCCTGGGAGTGACTGACCAGGAAAGGAACATGGACGTGTTATTTCTGATGGTGCCACTTGAAAAGACTGAACAGAAATGACTGAGAGAAGACTAAATGCTTTCCCTTTTCAAAGGGCACATCTCCAGTGGTGTCTCAGAGCTGCATCACTCTTCTTGGGTTTTGGCAGTGCAAAGCTCAGCACGAATGTGGAATGACTGCATCTGTTCCCATGTATGATCTTCTGCCTCCTGTGATCTCCCAGGATCTTTCATGTTCTCCCTCAACTGTCTTCCAAGCTGAAGGTTTTTCAATCTGCTTAGTTATTCCTTCCTTAGGCTCTGGCTCCAAAGCCAGTCTGTAACTTTGGTAATCCTGGTTGCCTGTCCCTGAATCTCTTCCAGTTTCGTTGTATCTTCCTGTAGATGGAGGGGAGGAGCAGAACAAGTCTAGACATACACACAAATTCTGGGACAGCAGAGCAACTCGCTTTATGTGAGTAGCTGGGGTTTACATCTGGAAATATCGTACGGCATTGCTGCAGCAAATTGGAGCAGTGGAGAAGGGGAATGGTTTGGGGGGAGGTTCCCTGATGTCTTCAAACACACACAGATTGACCCTGTCTTCAGCCCTGTCAGTTTTGACCTGGATACATGTTAGCAAAGCTCATACTGAATGACATGAGAATGAGGGGAAAACCAGAGCTGATTTAAGGAGAAATTAATTGTAGAGATTTTCCAAATGACTCTTGCAAGGTGTTTCTGTTTGGCCACTGGGTGATTTGCATCAAAATACTCATGCAGTCGTACACTGATGTTTTTAACAAAGCGTTTCTTTCTGGAGGCTGTTGGAACAAGCACGTAGATTTAAGTGAGATCCAGTGCGGTTTGAGATGGTTTATTAAAGTCAGCACAAATTAATAATCACAAACAAATTCTTAGCTGGCTTAGATTAAACTCTCTAGTTTTGTAGTGCAGGCAAGTCTCTCTGCTGCTTAAATTACAGGATCCTTGTAGGAGGAAAGCAAGCAGTTCAGACAACCAGTATATCCTGTGCAGTGCTGGCAGTGACTGCTGTCCTGCTGCTGCTCAGACTCTTGAGCTGAGAGTGACCGCAGAGCTGATCTGGAGGCGCTGGCTGCTCCGCGTGAAGGCTGCTGTCCTACTGGAGAGGTCAGAGTGTTGCACCATCCCTGGGCACAGACACTGCACAGGGCTGTCCCAGACACACGCTCTTGGGACCAGGCAAGCAGCATGAATTGGACTGTGCAGCAGACTTTGTTTTAAAAAGTAGTTTAACACGGACTTGAATCACGCTGGGGCCTTCTTGGTCCTGAGTCAGCTCAGATCTGAGGCCTGTGCAGGGCGTTACATGCAGCTCGTACTTGTTCCCTCTGCTCAGCTTGTCAAGAACAGGGTATTTGGCTCCTGAGAATCTGGCTCTTTAGAGATCTCTTGTTTTGATGTGTAACCTCACAGTGTTGTCTCTTTTAACACCAGGTGGAACAAATTTTCTCTGCTGTTTTGTATATTTGGCTTATGCTAGACTTCAGGCTCAGCAGTGCCGCTTGGGGTAGGAAGAGGTGTGTCCCCAGCAGAGCTGTGCTGGCAGAGGTGCCTGGTAGAGCAGCTACAAAAGCAGAGACTTCACCTTGAGAGCCACCACCACTTGTAGTGTCCTCAGCAGCACGTCCCAGCCCAGCCTGATGCTGCCAGCAGACATCAGAAGCACGTCAGCTGTAGCATTGGTTTGCCACTTTGCTGGGGCACAAAGTTGTGGCTGTTAGTGTGTTCAGTCCCGTTCACTTGAGTGTATCTTTGTGTTCATAAAAACACGCTGAAGGGTGGGCTCAAATATTTTCTGTTGCTGGGGAAAGGGAACATCACTCAGTGCACATCACTGAGATGGAGCTGCGTGCTGGGGCTTTTACTGTGGGAGGTCTTTCCATCACTGGGTGAAATACTGCCACTGCTGAAGCTGTGGGGGGCATCACTACATTGGTTCTTTGGAGAAATCATAGTGGCAGAGGAAGAAAAGTTTATAGAAAAAACATAACCAGTGTCCTTCAGTGTGTGTGAATCCTGCAGCATATCCCGGGCAGCACAGTGATCTTAGTACAAAGAGCTTTCCCAAGGGTTAAGAGGGATCTTGGGCTTCCTGCACTTCAGGAAGAGGGTAAATGCCAGTCAGGCTTCTCTTTGACTTTGCTGTATTTGTTTCTCTGGAATTTGCCAAGGTGTGTGTTTTGCTGCCAGATCTGAAAGAATAACTTGTAAAATCAGGATCTCAGAGGTGTTCTGCCCAGGGTCCTACTGCATGGACTTCCCCCTAACTTTCAGATCCTAGACTAGGACTTTGAAGGAAGGATTTGGGAGCAGTGAGTCAGACGGGTGGAGAGAGGAGAAAATTTTCTTCTCTCCAGTGGCCAAGAGCCGTTTCCAAGAATGGGAGCTGGAGCTGCTCCAGGGAGGAGCAGCAAGCTGCGCAGTGGGGGTGTGGGACTTCCCTATCGCTTTATGATTTCTAGCTGCTCAAGGAGAGAACTGGCCTCTGCGTTGTTAGATCCCAGCTTTTAGCTCTGGCTGCTACTCGTTACATGGAGTGACTCGGGCACGGGGGGCAGATACTCGGCATCTCTGGACTGGCACCGCTGCGGATGGCGTCTCAGCGCTCAGGTGGTGTCAGGCAGATGCTGCAGCCAGATAAACCCCGAGAGCAAACCGCTGCAGGCTGTGGGGAGCCAGGACGGCAGCCCGAAGCACTCTGGCAGGCAGGAGTTGACTCAGAAGGATTTGGCTACTCTTTGATAGTTAAAATAAAACTTCTGATGGGCAAGTGTGTTTAGGAGGGACCCGAGCATCAGCCCCGGGTGCAGGGACAGATGGGGGCAGAGAAGGCAGTAGGTCGTCGTGGCACCCCTGCACTCTTACCCTGCCTGCTGCCTCCGGCTCTGCCCACAGCTCTGGCGGGGTTGTGGCCACGCTCGGGGCACAGGGTCTGTGTTGCACAGAGCTAGGAAGAGCGTGAAAACTTTCTGGTGGAAACGCAGAAAGAGCAGCCAGAGACAGAAATGCCAGGTACCCCCTGCCACGGCTCTGGGAGCACCTGCAGTTTCTCCGAGGGCTTGTCTCTCTTCACGTGAACTCCCCAAGGACTCGGTTCAATTCAAGTCGAACCAAGGGTTCCACTTGTGATGGGTGAAAGTGAGCAGTGTTGTTAGTGATTGCTCAGAGCAGCGTCATTAGTGATTGCTCACAACCCCACAGTGTTGCTGCCGAGTGAGGCAGCATCCTGAGGCGAAGGATGTTTCTTTGTGTGTGGATAAAAAGCAGATTTAGGACATGGAACATGTTCTTAAAAATCTAATGACCTTTGAGCTCTAAATCACTGTAGTACAGGGAAGCAGCTTTTGGCTGCCAGATTAGCATCAATCCCCTTCCTTAGAGAAGGGAGTGCCGGGGAGCAGATTGCTGACAGCTGTTGGAAATGTCTGTTGACTTCACAGAGCTGTCCTGAGGGCAGGGGGGGCTCAGGGCAGGTTCAGGGCCACAGCCACACCTTGCAACCCCGACATCAGGCCCTCAGGTGGGAGCCTAGGAGGGTGATCTAGCGTGGGACTGGTACAAAATCAGGGAGGGATGCTATTTTTGCAAATGGCGGATCTCAGGGATCTGTCAGTGCCTACAAAAAAAGCCTCTGCCGGGCGCGAGCATGGCTCCAGATGTTTGAGGCTGGAGAGGGGATTCTCGCGGAGCGGCATCACGCAGATGCTGGTGGGCAGGAATGTCGTGGGCGGCCTGGCACAAGGGCTGCTGTGTGGGCCAGCACACAGGCCGCTTCACCAGGCGCGCTCCTCGCCCACGCAGGTCACGAGGGGACCTTCCATGCTGTCCAGCGGGAAATACCGAGGAGGTGCTTGTGTCCCGCTTAGGCTGGAGATCCTGGGCTCACAGCTGTCACCACCATCAGGGAGGGCAGCTGGATCCAACGGCTGCGGGGGGCTGGAGCTTCCTAAGGCTCCTGACAGGGTGGCAAATCACATTTGAGAAGCGAATCTGTCACTTTTCTTCAGTTCTTGTCATAGAAAGGTCTCTGCTGGAGTGATGCTCCCGGGGCGGTGCATCCCACAGCCAGAGACCGCACAGCCCCGGGGTCCCTGGCCGAGGGTTTGGCTGGCTCCGGGCTGTGGCTGGCTGTTCCCCGTCACCCGGAGCCATGGGGGTCCCACCTGCCCTTACACCTCCACGGGGGGTTGAGTTGCAGCGCCTGCAGCCAGGGCTCCCGCAGCGGCGCAGTCGGCAGCTGCTCCCTCCCAGCCCTTTGTCCAGCCTGGCTCTGCGGCTGCCTCTGCCTGCTGGCCCATCCCCGCTCATTCCTCCTCTCCTTTGTCAGCTGGAGTTCGTGTCATCAGTTTATTATAAATCCACTGGGTTTGGGAGCAGCTTTAGACAGCTACGCCAAAGTGAACCATATGTGTATTTATTCCTGAACACTGTGTTGACATAAGAAAAAAGCCTCTTGCCCTCTGGTGAGCCTCGGAGCAGCAGCTAGGCTTAGCAACATCCAAAAGTGGGGTTGGGGAAGAGCAAGTCAGCGCTGATCAATAAATGACATGGAGGTACGGGACCCTGGGCACTCAGAAAGGGCAAGGGGGGGCGCTGGCCCTGCGCTAGCTGCTGACTCTGGAGCCTGGCACTTGAAGCAGAGCGGCCCGAGGGAGGACAGACCCTGTGGTCAGGGGCTGCGGGTGCCTCCCGGGGCTGAGCTGAGCCGCAGGCTCAGAGCCCAAGGGCCGCTGCTGGCGGTGGGGCTGAACGCCCGGCTGTTCTCCACCTCAACCCGTGGTAACGCCCCGTCTTGTTCTGCACAGGGGAAGGGGCCGCAGTATTGCTTCGCTCTTTGGAACCTCTTCAGGGTTTAGATGCGATGAGAGAGCTGCGCAGCGCTTCAAGGAAGGCGCCCCAAAGCTGCTGAAGGACTGGCAGCTGTGCAACGGGCCCTCCAAGCTCTGCCAGGCCTTCGGGATCGACAAGGCTTTTGACCAAAGGGACCTGACGCAGGACGCAGCCATCTGGATGGTACCCGGACCCGACCCCCCCGGGGAGCAGGACGTGGTGGCCACAACGAGGATTGGCATCGGCAACAGGGGAGAGTGGACACAGAAACCTCTCAGGTTTTATTTACGAGGAAACAAATTTGTGAGTGTTGTAGACAAGAAAACAGAGAGAGAGATGGCAGCAGTGGGACACTTCTCTTGCAGCTGACGAGTCGTACAGGTACCACGGGCCAGGACCTGAGCTCTGCTCTGCGTGACGGCCTCAGCCTGCGTCACGGCAGCAGCCAGGGCACACACAGGGGCTTGGGGGCTTTTAACAATAAATGTACTTTATCACAGTGGATGGGGCAAGGTGGAATTTTATTTGTGGGGCAGAGGGGCATGGGTCTCCCAGCCAGCACTAAGATCTGTGGTAGCTGTTGAAAGCCACTTTCTCCCTTGTGTGTGGATCCAGGTGTGAGCAGGGGGCTGAGTGGTGAAGGGTCACAGCTCTGAGCTGCTCCCAGCAGAGACCAGCACTCGGCTGCTGCAGGGCTGGCAGAGGAGAGAGCAGAGGAGCTCAAGGAGGGATCTTGCTGTTCTCTACAACTACCTCTTGGAGGGGGTGGAGAAGAGGGAGCCAGGCTTTTGTCAGACAGGATGAGAGGCAACGGGCACAAGCCAGGAAACAGGAAATTCTCATTAGCTGTATGGAAAATTTTCACCATGTGAGGGTGGTCAAACACTGCAACAGTGACCCAGAGAAGCTGTGGGACCTTCAAACCTCCCCTGGACAAGCTCCTGAGTGACCTGATCTAACACATTTTCTCTGACTAAAGACCTCCAGAGACCCCTTCCAATCTATACCAGTCTATAATGTCCAGCTTAGAGAACAAGAATGCTTTTTGTTTGTTTTTTGTTTTTTTTTCCCCAAGTGCTTTTAAAACCAGTTCAAAACTTAACCACTGTGTGAACCTCAACACAGAGAAAGCACCAATACTGAGATTTCTGTAATGTTGCGGTCTGTCATGTTCGGGGGGGAAAAAAACCTCTGGGATTTAGGGCAGAAGCTGCAGAACTGCAGCCATACTGGCAGTCTGAAGGGTGACAGGGATACCCCACACCCCCAGGATTCACATGCAAGAAAAAAGCTTAAGTTTTTCAAAACCCTTGTCCCCATCACATGAAAAAAAAAAACCAAACCTCGTTTGAGCCCTTCTGAACTGCCCTTGTTAGACTGATCTCAGTAGCTAACCCTGAGACACAGTTGCTGGGGGTGGGCTGGGACTGGGGCCCTACAGCCGTGTTGATCTGATTCTTAGGTCAGATATTGCTTCTGCTCTACTGTAACAGCCCTGCTTGCAGCTGCTGGGGAAGACTCACGGAAGGGACCGTGAGAGAGGAGCTGCCATCGGGTATCTGGTGATACTGGGGGACACTGGGGTCCCTGGCACAGCTGTGCCTTGCTGGTGGTCGGTAAGTTAACATAAAGCTCCCAGTTTCACCCAGTTTGCGTGGGCAAGTGAAGCTGCTCTGGGAGAGCCTGCAACTCTGGGAAAAACTCCAGCCTGTGTGTGTAAGGGAAGGGCGTAAGGAGGAGCTGGCAGCCTTTTAACACCACACAGCCTGGGAAGCCACCACCAGGGAGGTGAAAGTTGTCCCCCTCCTTCCCGGGTGCACAGAGCAGAGCAGCGGCCTCACGCAGGATGGGCGGGAGGTGGTGTAAGCTCCTGCTGTCCCCAGCACGGCAGGAGGAGCATCCTGAACCTGCCATGTACGGACCTGGGGCTTGGTTTTCAGCTGCAGAGCTTTAACCCACAGCCATGCTTGCAGCGAGGGGAATGGAGGAACAAAACAAGCCCTGGGGGACGAGTCTGAGCGCCCTCGGCACCAGCCTCTGGCCGTGTGGAACCCACGCCTCGGTGTGCTTGCAGCTCGGCCAGCTGCTTTCGGTTCTGCTCCGCAACCAAGCTCCCCACCCGCCGTCAAAAAACAGGAAACCTTGAAACCCCCCCCGCACCCCGGGCTGTTTGGTGACAGGCATGTGCCAATAGACACTCAGCAATGAGGATACCGGGGAGAGGAAATAAGCTGTAATACAGTGAGTGAGTCATTCTCATTCATGAAACTGTTTACTTGTGATACTTTGCCTTCCTACCTCTGTCCTCAGTGCCGGCAGATAACAAGGATCAAACGGAATTCCTCGGCGCCCAGGGACACTCCCCCGAGAGCCAGGCTGCTCGCACACCCAGCAGTGACCTGCGCTTGTGGTGCGCCAGCACCCACCCAGAGGTGAAGTCCCGCAGGGAACATCCTGCCCGCTCTCGGGAGGGAGCAGGGTCAGGGAAGGGCTGTGGACCAGCAGCTCCCGCGCCGTGCACATGGTGTGGCAGGAATCCGGGCTGAGCAAGCGTGTGCTGTCCTGCAGCAGTGTCGCCACAGGGAGCAGATGGGAAAGCAAGGCACGGAGGGGGAAGAGCCTGCTCTCTGTCACACGGCGAGAAGGAATTGAAATCACCTCCTTCAGTTTTTAGGCATCTTTTAGACTATCCGTGTGGAGCCTGTAGCAGGTTCCCTTCCTTTGCCAGTAGAGTCACTTCAAGAGAGACTGAAAAACTGAAATGACGGGGTCCTCGTGGCTGGTCACCACCAGCACGCTGCGGAATTTGTCAAACAGCATCAGCAGCTGGGAGCGACGCATGTTCTCGTTGTACATGATCTCCTCCAAGTGGTGTCGGCCTCGGAAATAGTGCAGCAGCCTGTGGGGAAGGAGAGCAAGGGAGGTCCGTGGGCCCAGAGCAAGTGCACGCAACACGAACTGACACTGCCGCCCTCAAGGTTTCCTCTCCCCTGGGATGCAAAGCAGAAGGTGTTTGGGTTTGTGTCCCTCATTTACATGAAAAATGAAGAATTAAATGAGTTCTTACCTTAGGCGTGCCTAGCACAGAAATCCCCTGCAAAAGCCGGGGACTCCCCGTGCTTCGGAGCTTTGCAAAGGTCTGCTTCCTAGCCTGGGTCTTTTCCTGAGGTGATTGTCAATTTTCAACCTAGTTTTAACTCCAGAAAGCGAGGAACCACAAGTGCCAACAAGCCTTGAGAAGTCAGGATGGGGCAGATTTACTTCTTTCCTCTCTTAGCTGGGTCTACAACACCCTCTGTCACAGCTCCACACCAGAGGCCTAGGTACCTACACCTGCTTTTAGAATCAAGGGTGTCTTTTCCCTCACAGCAGCCCGAGGACCTCGGTAACTACAGGTCGTGCACTCTAGAGGTTTGGTTGGTTTGGGTTAGGTGGAGCAGTGACAACAGGGAGATGGCATTGTAAAGCCCCCAAAGAGAGCCAAAACCCTGAGGCCTAAGCTCAAACCACACTGACCAAGCTGGGGCAGGGTCTGGAGCACAGGTCTGCTGGGAGCGGCTGGGGGAACTGGGGGGGTTCAGTCTGGAGAAGAGGAGGCTGAGGGGAGACCTCCTGGCCCTCGGCAACTCCCTGCCAGGAGGGGGCAGAGAGGGGGGATGAGTCTCTGGAGCCAAGGCCCCAGCGCCAGGCCCCGAGGGAATGGCCTCAAGCTGCCCAGGGCAGGGTCAGGCTGGCTCTGAGGAAGGATTTCTGTGCAGAAGGGGCTGTTGGGCGTTGGAATGGGCTGCCCAGGGCAGGGGGGAGTCCCCGGGATCCCTGGAGGGGTTGAAGAGTCGGGCTGAGCCAGCGCTGAGGGATCTGGGGGAGTTGGGAACGGTCAGGGGGAGGGTCAGGGTTGGGCTGGAGGAGCTCCAAGGGCTTTTCCAACCAACCTAGATGATTCTGTGACTTCTTAAACTCCCAGTTCTCTTTAAATAGAAACAGCACAGATACCCCTTTGCTGGCCACCAACATGCTACAGCCGTCCGGTAACCCCAGCCCTGCAGGGCAGGGTCTAAGACAAACCACGGCAGCCTCTGCACTGCAGCAGGTCCCTGCTGGCTGAGGACCTGCTCCCCGAGAGCCTTCGGAGCCGCATCGCCAAGGCAGCCCTCCCGACTCCTGACGAGTTTGCTGCTCAGTCTCTTAATTGTCTCGACAGCCTCCCAAGCGCAGGAGCCGCACACCTCACTCAAACACTTCTGCCCATCAAGGCCCGAACGCATATGCCAGAATCCCTTCCCCAGCCAGATGTGCATCCACATGTGTTACACATCACACTGGGCTCTGCGCTTCGGCAGCTTTTGCTCGTGTTTCCACACCCATCTGCAGTTTAGGAATATGCTGGGCTGCTGCTTCACGCCAACTGACAGTAAAAATGAGTGGAGATGACGAGATCTGTTTTCCAATTCATTCATACACTCCTCATGCAGGAACAGCCCTCGAAAGACACCGAATGCCCCTCAGAGCATTCCTGCTATTTTCACGTGGCAGCAGGATGGGGCCTCTTGTGCTCTCCCTGAAGGACTGGCGTTTGCCTGTCTGCCTGCTGCTGCTCAGGCTCAGCACTCCTGGCACCCATCACCCTTCATGGGGGACTGGGAAGGAGCCACTGTGCAACGAGTCTGCCTCCCTCTACAGTGCCCAGAGTAGGTGTCACCTCTCGTCCACTGCCATTCGGGTTTCTCTGCTCCCCCATTTGCCATGTCCCTCCTCTCACCCCTCTCTTGTTCCCCAAACAGCTGTGTGTAAGCTCAGAGCCAGGAACCTCACTGCCTCACCCCTGCAGGCAGCCTGGGGCCGTGCAGCCCCAGCACGCTGCGCCTCCCTTCTGCTCTGATGTGCACCTGCCGGCTCTCAAGCTGACACCACGGAACATGATTGCTGCGTCGCTGTACCTGCAGCACAAACGAACAACAGACAGACAAGCTCCAGCCATATTCACCTTCCCACTCTCTGGGCTGTGCACTCGCCTCTTGCACTGTCTCCCACTGGGTATTTAAATCGGGCCAACTGGCTTCCTCCCCTGGGCCAACGGCAACCAGTGTGCACTGAGAAGCAGCCATCAGAGGGACAGCATCAGTTTGTGTGTCTACGTGACAAAACCAGACCATTCCATGAGGTATTAACAGAAATTTTTGCATCTTATAACTTGTATCACTGTTCAAGAAGTGATTTGGAAAAAAAATTTAAAAGCTACGTATTTTCTCCCTTCTATAATGCTGCTCACTGTGATTGCCCATGCGCTCATCTCCTGGCCCAGCTGTCTCCTGATTACAAACTGGCTTTCAACAGCAACACAGACTAAGCAGTTCTCCAATAAATAAATCCATCCTATATGCAAAAAGAGTCTGGATTTGTAACCAGTCAAGATGAAATATTTTCCACTCCAATAAAAGTTAGAGAGAATATTAAAGAATATCACAAAAATGCCGGCTGGAAGACACCTCCAAAGTCTAGTCCAGCATCCTGCTCCAGCAGGACTGGTGCCAATGCTGTAGCTTTTTCTAGCCAAGCTCTGAAACCCTCTAAGGATGGAGATCCCCCCACATGCCTGGATAATCTGTCCTGGGCTGCACTGCCCTCCCAGGGAAGAAGTTTTCCCCAAAATCCAACCAGAGTCTACAAAAGTGTAACTTGGGGCTCACAGCTCCAGTGAAGATGGGCACTGCCTTTGCCTTTTGGGGCAATGAGCATTTATGGGACCCAAACAGGACAGAAGATGGCACTTCTGGGGCAGTAACACTGCATCTGAGTCCCTCTGAACCTGCACAGATGTGTCTGTTGACAGATGTGCACATCCAGATCCAGTGATGGAAGATTTTTTGCATGCCATTGCTCATCACTCTTCTCCCCTCTTTAAGTTATAGGAGCTGCCCATCTAACAGCAGTGTAGTGTTAGTAAACGCTAAAAAAAAAAATATAAAGCATTATCTCAGACTAGTCATTCAAAGAAAATTAGCTTATTTCTGGCCAAGGAGCTATCCCTTCCACCAGCACTGCATGAAAATGGAGAACTGTCCACAGCTTAGTGCCACCAATAAGCATTCCTCAGTGGTGTAAAAGGTCTCCATTTCCCAATCTAACAGCAAGAAAAATCATCCTGAGAGTGACTCCAGAGCCATGGCTTGGAAGAGAAGCCACGAGTGAAGCCTCAATCTCTCTTTAAGAGCACTGATTAATGCGCAGTGAGGAACCCCTTGTGTATGTTACTGAAGATCTAGCTCAAAAATCCCTTGTCTCCTCCTTAAGTTTACTTCTGGAAGCACAGGCCAACCCTCCTCCAGCAGCACCTAAGTAAAGAACTTGGATTTCAATTCCCATTCAGTGTAATGAGGGTTAATGCAGGCAGTGCTGAAGCCAAGCTTCGCTATTTCTTATTTCCCCTCAAGGTTTCTGTCTGGCTGTGCATAGCACTGGTCAGGCACAAGCCCTTTCTGCCATCTGTTTAATGAGTAACAGGCGTTCGGAGGCACAGACACAAGAAAATGTATCAGGATCAACTTTACTGCTCTGCTGAAAACAGCCCATCCCTTTGTGTGCACACACAACTACACGTGGAAGGGCAGTTGGAGTGCATTTAGTGCACTAACTACGCATTTATAGCAGGAGTTTGTTCTCGGGGGCAGCTGATAGAGGCTGCTGTTCCTCCAAAGGGAGCTGGCAGTAACCTGGATTAGGGTAATGAGGGACATCAGCTCATTCGCTGCAGCAGCTTCTCCACAACTGTTTACACTTTCATTAAGAGCACTAGGTTTACCCAGAAGACATTTATCTCTGACGGTTTGTGGCACAAAATGACAGAAAATACACCCACAACCTCCAAGTTACGGTGTCTCATAAAGCCACCAGTAACCAAGAGTGTCTTGCATAAACATTTCTGTGGGGACACTCCAGCATCCTACCCCCAGGACCCATCTGTTTATCCTATCTTCTCTCTTCCTCGCTGTTGGCTTGAAAGCAAGCTATGCTGTTGTCAATTCAATCTATAGTAGAATGGAAATTCAGACTTAGCAAAGCCATCCTGGGGATCTGCAGAAGAACCTGGTGCACAAGCAAACTGCAAAATAAACATCGTTCAGACAGCTGCCTGGTTACAGCAGCTGATTTTATGGAGAAATCAAAGTAATTTTTTTTGCATCTGCAATTCCAGAGCTTTCAAATGGCTGTTTTACCCAGATGAGGGAAGTGACAGGGGAGCAATCATGAAATCCTTTCCTCTCCCCAGGATATCTGAGAATCTGCACTGCCACTAAACTGGTCCAAAGCGTCCCACACAAATTCAGTCTTAAGATATCACCAGTTATCATTTTGTTTTTCCTTGCCTTTCTCACTGGTTTTGTAATGACTTATCTGGTAATGAGGCAAAAACATTTCAAAGTTCCCAAATGGCCGAAGTGTTGCCTCTCAATCAGAGAATATCCTCTGAACAGTTTACAGATGATGGAGAAGACAAGTAACTCAGCAGTAACTACCCGCAAGCTTGGGTGAGCTCTGTGAAAGTGCCCGAGCACAGCATAGCTGCAAACTTTGACACAGACAAGAAACACATTTTCTTGCAATTCGTTTCTCTAGGCTACTTGACTATATTCATCCTAGAGCAAGACCCGGGTTTTCAGGGGACTACCAACTGAACATGGGAAGTATAGAAAAAGCTGCAGGACTTGCCTCGGGTGGTTTTCTGCTCTACAAGTATGAAAACCAGTGAAAGCTGCATTCCAGTGATGCCACTGTGTTTTGAAATGCTTAGGAAGAAAAAGTATTTTCCCCCCCCACCTTTTTCCCAGATGGCTGGTTAGGAAGTTATTCTGCTTTTTACCATGTGCAGAACCACATCTTGTGTATTTTGCTGTGTTAAAATTTGTAACAACAGAACTGTGTGCTACTAATCACACATCCTAATGACTTTAGCCTAACTAACCTAACGTAACGAGCAGCTCATCTCCGCAGAACAGACCCCGAAATGTTTGTAGGCTGGTCTGTAGAAGTATTCAGCTGGCTTTGTGTCTTGTGCTCTTTGTCTCATATTTGCATGGAGTTTACAAACCTTAAAATACAGGCTTGGAAATACCAACGGACACAAAGCGACAGCATCAGCATGACTGGGTCTTTGCTGTGCAAGCTCAGAAGGTTTTTTCAGGCTATGCAGTTTTATGACTACCATGTGTGGACACAGGAAAACTCGCAGGCAAACAGTGAAGTCCGTGTTGTCCAACCACTTGCCCTGATGCTCCCTCACACATCTAGGACTCTTCGGTAACAAGTGTTCTTGTGACACATACATCAGTTTTTGTCCAAAACTGATGTGCACAGATGAAACAGGTGTTAAGGGGAACAAACCCGAAAGAATTTATCCTCCAAAAATCCCAAGCTAAAAGGATTTGCTGAGTCCAATGAAACAACAAGGAAAAAAAAAAAAAAAAAAGATTACATTCTGCACTCCTCATTTCTTACCTTGCAAACATGCGAAGATCTTCTGGATTTTGGGCAGCAGGGACATTAAGGATAGCTTCCCGCTCATGTTCCAACAAGCTTGCTAGGAGATTCTCCGTCATCCTTTTATTTAGGGGTGAGTCCCCACCAGGTATCAACTCAGCACTGGAATTATCCATGCTAGGGCTTGTCAGAGTCATGTCATCACTACTAGCTATCAGGGGAAGAGAGAAAGAGACACATAATTTTTATATACCTCAGCATAATGATGCAAAGATTATCAATTCAGGCTGTTTCTGTGCAGTCTTTGCAAATAATCCCTTCAGATTTGTAGAGCAAAGAGAGTGGCTCTTGAAATGCTACATGTATCTGCAATTAGTCATATGACAACACAGCGATTTTCTCAATGGGAAAGTCAAATGTTTCAACGAAGGCATCAATTTGTGTGGAAAATTGTACTTCTGGAGACCATAAACAGTCCATAAAAAACACTGAAGAGAAAATTCCCAGCCAGCTCTGCTGGAATACCGTGAAGTGGTAACATGAAAAGCCTAACAGCACAGAAGGTGGGAGCAAGCAGAAAGAAAGGCCAAGAAGCAATATCCTCTTGTGAGCGAGCCAGGATAAGCAGATCGCAGACTGATCTGACTCACGTTCCAAGATTTCTGCCCTAATTCATGACTTCTGTAAAGCTGAAAGTTGTACAGAGAATCTCTCTTGATATCCAACCCCAGTAGCGTTCTGAGAATGCTGCTCGTAGCAGCACAGGCAGAAAAGTTTGGGGATTTCAGCACTGGATCTGATTTTTACCCTTGAAAAAAATGTTTTCCTGGAATTGCCCTGAAGAATGGCACTGAGGAGATTAAAGAAATCAGGAGACAAACAGCAATCAACCACTAGTGATGAGATTGATTGTGACTGAGAAAGACAGCTGGCTCTGCATCTCCTTAGGTGGCTCTACAGCCCACAGAAATCAATGCAGTTTTTAAACAAATTGTCACAATTGTCCTTCTCTCCTGAAAAGCAAGGTTCCTGCAGGAACAGTGGTGCAGCCAGAGGAACATGGCAGTCACTTTCCAGTATAGCAAGGAAGTAGGGAGTTGCTTCAACAAAACAGAAGTACCTCTGATACTTTACATGACCAAATGAGAACCTGGCAAATTACAAAGCACTACTTCTTTTTCAAACCAAGAATTTAAGGTCTAATAGTCCTTAAGACTTTCACCAATGCCCAGCTCTAAATTTAAGAGGGGCTGGACCCAATTAGTAAGCACTCCAGCAAAGACAACTTGTCTTGTTACCAAGGCCTGGCTACCCTAGGCATCACTAAGGGAAGCTCTAGAAGTGGGCTGTAGTCTGAACAGCAGAGAAAAGGGTGCTCATACTTGGCGAGCCAAAGCTGAGAGCATTGGGGGTGCTTAAACTTCGGCCTCCAACTCTGGCAGTAAAGGGCATGTCTTCGTCTTGGGCTCGGAAATCCTCCTCATTTGGCGGCACCATCAGACAGACGTAAGTGTGAAGCTGAATAAGAAGCCTGTGTTGGAGCATCCATATCACCATCTGAATGAGCTGAGTCTGCAGAGTGAGACATGAGGTATTAAACAACCCTGAAATAAAATACAGGAGGAAAACAATGCACAAAGGTTAGGCTTTGTGACTAAGGAGTCACAAGGAGAAATGCTTTGCCCCACACACAACAGTTTTATCTCTTCTCCAATCACAAAAAGGTGACCAGGCACACAGCTTCATCACACCCAAAGCCTCTGTGGACACTCAGGCTGTAATCAAACCTTTAATGATCAACATGTCTTCATGCAACGCTGACCAGCATAGCCAGTGTCCTCAAACGAACCAGCCCTGCCCCTTGCCACAGCTCCAGCACTGCCGTGTTCTAGCAGAGCAGCTGACCGCCCTCCCCACGTGATGCTTCAGCCACACAAGCCCACCTGGAGCTGTTCCATCCTCTTTTAACAAAACAAGTTTTGTAGGTGCTACGAAAATGGGATAGTCTTCCTTCTGAGAGACAAGACATGGAAAATGAGTCAACTGGATGCAGGCCCTGATGCCCACAGCCCAACAGTGTGAGCCCTGAGATCAGTTTGCTGGTTTCTACAAAAACCCCACTAAAATCAGTAATCACCGAAGGGTTAATCCCAGAGCGGTCAGATTAAAGTGCAGTTTGCCCCAGGAAGCCAAGGAGAGGGCAGGGTGATGGGGCAGAGTCGAAGCAACCAAGACAGGTGCCCAGAAGTAGGAGCCATTTGCTGTCAGGTGGGAAATTGCTGCATAACCACGGGAGAGCCTCCGGAGATCAGAGCCCTGCCAGGACCCGGCGATACAGAAACAGTGCCAACAGCTCCAGCAGCCCTGGCAAGGAGTCCCCTCGCAATGCAAAGGGTTAACACCCCCCACTTCCTCACCACCCCTCTGCAATAATAGGACAGGCTAAGCTTACAAAGGCATCTGGTTTTTTAGGCTGCAAACAGGCAAGAGTTTCAGAAGCTCCAAGAGATGACGCTCATATTAAACAAACATGTGCAACACCTCTGTATTCCAGCAGCTGAAGACCTGCACAACGTCCCCAGAGCACCACTGAAAACGGTGGGTAGAGTGAGGGACAAGCGTTTGTAGGTTCTTGGCATGGCCCATTTTTCAGGAGTTTTGAAGGAGCATTCAAAACACATCACCGTGTCTGAATTTCGGCACAAAAAGCCTTTTCATATCACTGCAGGCAACCCTTCCCATAGCTAATGGCTCTGAAAACACTGATTCACTGACAAAAGCTGTTTGGGGATTTCATAGCAACCAACACTGTTTTGGTGAGAGAAACACATGCAGAATGAGCTCAGACTCTGAGAAGGAAGCTGGCTCTGCTGTATTAATCATCAGGATAACGGGCCAAATCTCAGTAAAAGCCCCAAACTGAAGTTCATCAGCCCACATAATTTTCCTTTTTCCATAAATCTTGTAATTCTCAGTTACTCCTCCGCTATCAAATCACAAAAGAAACATCTTCTGTTTGCAGACAGACCCACACCCTGTCTTTTCAGGGATTACCACTTTTGGGGACTGAATGGATTTTAATGTTAATACATATTATCCAGGATCGCCTTCAAACATTATCTTTTTTAGAAAAGCCATAATTCATTTTACATGTTTAATAGAAAATCTAAAGACGAGTAAAGCTGGCAAAAGATACCAAATGCATAGTACTTTGCTAACATCTGAAATCAGCCTGAAAGAGAGAGGAGGCTTATTCCAGTGATTACGTTGCTAAAAACCTTCCTTCCAAATGCAGGCCTGGATGGAAAGATGTCTCATGTATTTTACTTAAATTTCCAACCTGTTGGCACACAGTGATGTCTGATTAACTAGTTTCACATCAAATGAAAGTAGCCTGCACATTTCACAGCACAAAATAACTCTGGGAAAATCCAAGGCAATTCAGAGGCTCTACCAGACCTGCAGAATCTGCCGGGTAGGGCCTGACCCAGACCAATCTCCACGGGTCACTTTGGTAGTTTCATGAATTAAAATAATAGCCAGTTGTATTTTTTACACTCCATGTGCATGGAAAGTCTTATCCAACACACTCTAATCCTGCATATGCACCTCCACTTCGACACTCTTGTGTAAATATCTAGAAAGCCAGCCCTGAGCCAGCAGCTGTGGCTCAGTGGAACAAGAAGCCAGGGAAAAGCGGTGTGACAGCTTTCCAACCAACAACTGCCAAATGCCTTTGTGCTGGAAGTGGGAGAGCTGGAGATTGGCTGTGACTAACCTGAAAACTAGAGAAAACGGTTCTTCCATATTGAAGTGAGCCTGGACAACCATCCCCAGAGAAGAGAGAATGATGATCATTGACTGTCTTAAAGCTCGACTTCAATGAGAATTTGGTACCCGTTAAAATCTAGTCGTAGAAAAAACCCCAAGCAATGCAGCATCCTGCCACTAACACCAAGCGCCCAACAGCGTGCTTTGTGCCATCACTGCCGACGTGCCTCACACCATTTCCATTTTTTCCAGGTTTAAACCTATTTCCTACCAAAAAGCAGCAAGTGTTTTTACAGTTAAGGTCTAGCAGAAGCTTTGCTAATCCATTCTGCTGCTCGTCCTTCTGGACACAAACACCTAATTTACAGCCGTTCTCCATCTGCTCCTCTTGAGCTCTGGTGGGGCTTACAGACAGGTCTGCAGGAGAAGAGGCTTCTCTGCACCATCTGTGCCGCGCTGACTGTTGGAAACGCTCTTCCTCCCTCAGAGATACAGGGTTATCTTCATGCTTGGTCTCGGTCTACTTGATTAGCTGGGCTCATTGCTGAAGCCAAAAGGGCTGGGAGGAGCTTCCCAGGCAAGGATATACTTCAGTCCCACGCCTGCCTCCACTCACTGTCATCATCTGGCATGGCAGGAGTCTAGAGCCAGGCTTTCTTGGCTGAAACACCAGGACCACGATGGAAATATAAACCCAAACATTTTTCGTTGCTTAATTTAACTAAAAATCAACTCTAAATTTCATCCATATTCTTTTCATCCTTCCCATCTCCCCATGCTGCCTCTTTCCAGCCTGCTGTACGAGGAGTCCTGTCTGCTGCAGCATCTGGACCGCTCCGTGCTGCGGCGCAGCAGGCCCCGGGCAAAGTTAGAGGCTGTTGTCATGCCAGGCAGCACGGAAGGAGTTGGTAACAATACATCGCTTTGTGCTCACTGACAAAAGCAGAGATGTATTAGTGTCTGAAAACACGGGCATTATACGTCAGCCCATCTGGGCAGTTTGGGACAGTCAGAGGAAAGCTCAGCCCCAAGTCTTGGAGGGACAAGATCCAGCATTCATTATTCTCTTCCCTCTGGGAACCAAAGGGAGCGTTTGTAAAACTCGAGTAATGTGTTAAATAAATCCCATTTCCTGCAAGGACTTTATAAGGCTGTTTTCTTTCCCAGACCTAAAAAGCTAAGGAAAATCCCAAGATAACCGGGACCAGCAGCAAGTTCAGGAAAGGGAAGGGAAAACAGCAACCCAGAAGCGCTCAATCCTAGCTTGTTTCTTACTACACGACCATAAAATGAGTTAAAACACAGCCTGGTTTGCCTACTGAAGTACATGAGCCCCCTTTCTCCAGTCTGGATTATGCGGTTACTTGACACGTGCACTCTTCAAAGTCTGACTTGAGAACTAAGGGCTGCCTTGGCTCAGTAGGACAGCACCAAGTCGCTGGGGTAAATGGATGTTTGCTGAAACGTATGACCTTCCTTTATCATTCAAACCACACTGGTTTGTGAAAATAGATCAGCTAGTAAAACTTCTCCCTACTCTATAGAAAACAGGCTCTAAAGACCCCTTATTAGTGTAGGACAAAACATTTATTGTCTCATATTGCCATTTTAATCATTAGGTAACAGCTTTGAATTCTCAGCTTAACCACACCCTCCACTTAGGTGCAGAAAGACATTATATTTTTAACTTGCCACACTAAACCCCCCTGATTTTACACCTAGTCCAACTGAATATAAATGCACCTTAACATTACTCTCATCCCGCTGCCAACAAAAGCTCCCGTGGCTCTTAATGCCTTCCAGATGCCCAGCGGAACGGTCACATTTGCAGCGTGTCTCTCGGAAGACACAGCTGCCCATTCAGTATTTGCATGCAGCTCTCCTCCCACTCCCATCCCCTGACATACTTGCTCATTTTCCACCGAGCTGTTACCCAAAGCACGGCACGTTTTCCGGATGCGTAAGGCAGAGGCCTCATCCACTGGTGCCTTACTCCCAACAGGATGGCCAGACTTATTAAAACAAAAGTGAAAAATTAAACATTATTTTGTTCAGCAGCAGCTGTCACGCTTTCCCATCTGTTTTTTTTTCCGCAGTTATCCTAGCCCCATCAAGGGAGAACTAGATAACTACGATAATAATAATAACAATGTGCATTATGAGAAAGAGCTAGTGCAGTGAAGGGGATGCAGGGAGGAAATGGGATGGCTAATTCACCTCCGTGCACCCCTTCTACCTTATGGGTGGAAAGATCCCTCCTGCTTGTTCCTCAAGGCAGGCTAGAGAGATGTTACAGCTTCTGAAACAGAGCAACTAGCTGAGGCCATAATGCACAGATGAGGGAAAGCCACAAGCACTATCCCTCTCTCTTGGTTTGCAAAGAAACTTAGTGGACAGTAGCTGAGTGAAGAAACTTTTGATATGGTGCAAAGAAAGCCTTGCACTGAAAAGCAGGTTAAAGCATTCCCACGCCCCAGCTGCAGTGCCTAGCACACACATCCTATCTACGAACGTGTGCCAGCTTAAAGGTTTTAGGTCACTGAGTGTTTTTGTGCTTTCACAGGAGGTTATGAAGGGCTGTGCACCACACTGAACAGCACCAGAGTCCACTCTGGTGTGCTCTGCAGTCATCAGGCTGCGCCACGTCTGCGAGAGGAGAGCACAGGGACAGGAACCACCAGTCACAGGCAGCAGCAGGAAGGACGGCTCCTTTGGGGTCGGGGTAGAGGAGATGCAAACTGTCTCTTTTCCAGTAAAAACACTGAAAGAGAAGAGTTTACCTATTGTATCAGCTCGCAGGATCTCCTCACCCCACGGCTGCACCCTGGTGAGATCCAGGACGGGCAGCAGGAGCTGAACTGGCTGCTGTTCAGGACATTGCCAGGCTGCCCTGGATTGCTGAAGTCGGGGTGACACCATACAGCATGGTGGAGCCACTGGGAAAGGGGAGAATAGCTTCTGCTTTCTTCACTCACATCCCCAGCTGCAGAAATGCCTCCCTTGTTCTGCACCAGCCCAGGAGCTTGCTGGACCTCCCCCTGTGCAAATTCCACCTGCTAACCTGGTAGAAAACTAGAGCAGCTGAAACAAGTTAAGTGAACAGTCAAGCTGGACAGGATCCAGAGCTCTAGCACAAAGGGGAGAGGGAGAGGAGGAAGGCATGTGTGCACACACCTGAGGGTGGAAAGGAAAACCAGAGCCTCCTCTCATCAGCACCAGATCAGCTGAGCTGTAGGCACAGGCTCATCCTCATGCTGCTGCACCATTGCTAACTTGCCTTGCTTGGATAAACACAGAGAGAGGGAAGCTAGCATACAGATGACTACACAAATAATAAAATCTTTTCAAATTATAAGCACAAGAGCACTGATAGATATAAAACCACCACAGAGTTCAACTGCAATATACTGCTCATCATCACAGGCAAGAAAAGGGATCAAGATGACAGACTCAAGAAGAATTCCGTCTGTAGCGCAGGGCACAGCTGAGAGCACTAGTGGTCCTGGCAGACAGCACTCGCTAGACATCTCCCACCTACTTGACAGACAGACACCAAAAGCAGCATGTTGACATGCATTTTGTCATCCAAGGCAGTCTTGTCCCTGCTCTGGGTATTGCAGGTTGTCTGTACCTCCTACCAGCCAAAAAATATCACAGCACCCTAAGTATAAAAATGCCAGTGTCACATTTTTTTTTTTATCTACTCGAACGGAGCAATTCCACCCGTGTAACAGTAAGCAAACAAAAATAACTTTGTCCTCTTTCAACTCAAAGCAGTACAACTTCATATAAAAACAGGAGGAAGAGCTCTTCAACGGCTTTCCTATTTCGTATGGTGGACTTATGAATGCCTTCCATGTCCTCTGCCCACCCAGAAGCACATGCCAAAAGGAGAGAGCCAGTCCCATGCTTAAGACAAGAATCAAAGGGGATGGATGCCATGAGACCACGAGAGTTTCTACAGAAAATCCAGCCCTTCCCACAGCACTGACCTTCGAGCGCAAATGACCTTCAGTAATACGGAGACAGTACAGTCAGCATGATGAAAAGCACAAGGTAACAGACTACTAGTGAAAATCTTCGAAGTCAAACAAAATCCCCACATCCCCTCTTATGTACACAAAGAACAAAATTACAGTGAAAGGTCCCCAACTTTGTTAACTTTTTTCAAAGGCAAAACAAATACAATCTGACAATATTTACAGTTCAGAGTACAGCCTTTTTTATCGCCACACAGTGGAACAAAAACCTACCCACATTTCATCAGATTAATTGCTCTATCAACTAGAACTCTGTTAATCACAATTGGAACCTGACCACTTCAGCACAGGGATTGGATTCATCTCTCTTAAAAGGCTAGTTCCTAATAAAACAAAAATACAAATAGTTCTACATGGGTAAATCAAAGTGATACGAAAACATCAAAGAACTCTCTCTAGTCTCAACTCCCCCAAGAACTGTCACACTTTATCAAAAAAAGCGCTTGCCCTGACTCCAAACAGCCCACCAGTGTATGGTGGGCTACTTCATCTTCATGCACACGTCTTGCCAATGTGGCCCCAAGTCTTCTGCAACCACAGTTCTCACCTCCCCTTTTCAGACTGTAGAAGGCACTTCTGTACCGCAGCATCACCCTTCATCCTTCCACACATGCTGAAAGGATGATGGAATCAAGGCGTGCTGTTGACCTTTAGGACCCCATCACAGACAGGTGAGCATCAGAGAGAAGGCACATGCTCTAAAAGAGCCATTTTAGCACTTCAGCAGCTCTGGCAAACACTGCTCACACACTGCTGTTTCAAGGCAGAACTGCAGTAGTAAGTGGCAGAGTTTATTTGTGTATTTCAAACAAAAGTAGGACGTCTGAGAACAACCAGAAGTATTGAAGAAGTATTAAGGCAAGTAATTAATTTTAAAAGGAGTACTGAGAGTAAGAATGTCTCCTGAAGCTACTGCAGCTAGAATAAAATCAATGTAATTAATTCAGCTTCAATTTCCAGGACACTGATTTGTCTGTAACTACAGAGAAGTACTGACAGAAGAGTAAAACTGCTCTTCCCCTGCCTCCCAAGGTGGCAGCTGACCAGTACATATTATCGGGATTAGATCCTACATCATTACTTATCTTTATCTCCGATCATAATCTCTGCCAACCTGTAATTACAACAAATTCTTCTCTCGCAATTGTGCCTGCGTGCGCAATTGTTGCTTGTCTTCTTGATATCTGAACAGTGGCTCAATTTGTATAGCCAGCAAGTTATCAAAGTATGAAGGCTGGCAACAACGCTGCAAGAAATCAGCTAAAGCAATCTGCCTGTGCTTCCTTTGCCACAATGAGCTGTGTACAGAGGTGCAAGCTTCTTCATCTGGGAAGGAAACAGTGTCAGCCAGGAGAGCTCACGTTACTGAGCTCCTTCTTGCATTTCACCAGTTCCCAGAAATGCTGCAAGCCATGATCTATATGTAAGCAAAACGACGGCTCACAAATCCAAACTCTGTATGTTATTACCCCAAATCTGAACGTTAAAATGCTAATGCTGTAACACATGGACTTCTGTTGACTACACGCTGAGCCTACTTCCTCTAACAGCCTTTAAACAATTCCAGTTTCATAGCAAAAGCTAAGTGAATAGACAGTTTGCTTTTAAAACCAGATTGTGAACCTAAAGCAGATGGAATATAATAAAATTAAATGTGATTGTGAGGAATCCACAAACTTGCACTCAGCCTTACTAATTTATGACAGTTTTCAACAGACCAAATGGAGTTTCAGGCTTCCCTACTATATCACTCAAGAGAAAGAAACATTCTGATTTTTCTTTTAGGATTGTGCTGTCCTAGCAGAGTATCCACACAACTTCACCTTGAACATCCTCACAGCTTTTTGGCATGAAACAACAAATCATATGGTTAGAAACACAGTAATTGGCAACCTCTCAACCTGCAATAGCAGGTTCCTGACTAGGTACTCCAGAAGCACCATTCCTTGCTCTCATTAGCAGGAGAACAAGAGGCTTGTGGACACTCCCCATCTCACCTCCTGAACGGGTGGCGCGAGTGGATTCTTGAACTCTGAGAGTGACACTGGGAGGGAGAACTTGGAAAGCATCGACGGCAGGTTGTGGCCTCGGAACTGACAAGAAAACGCATCTGCTAATGGAGAGTAACTACAGAAAAGAGGGAAAGGCAGAAATCAGTTTTATTTTGCTGGTCAGCGTAACACTTATCCATTTAAGCATTGCAGAAGTGCCAATTCCCAAATGAAATATTCTGCGTTATCTAGAAAAACAGCACGGATAGTTTATGGCATTTTGCATCCTGCAAAAGTAATCGAGAAGCATATGCACTTTTATCTTGGCTTTAACGTTAGTGTGAAGGGAAACCAGAGGAGAAAAATAAAAATGATAAAAAGCCTAGACCTTCGCAGTCTCTGATCAAAGGAACAGGGGTTAGGCAGTCAAGAGAAGACAGGGATGGGTGGGACAGACGCACAATCTTCAATCTTTGCATATGCAAAATGCAGCTGCAGATGTGACTGTTCTTCCTGCCTATGCTGACAGGACAAGCAGTGTCACTGATCAGAAGTAAAGGAGAGTCAAGTTAAATATTAGGAAAACTGTCTTTCTTATGCTTTCCATCTACAAAAGTCTCTAAGAACAGCACTGCCATATATGACACAGGCACAGTTGTTCCTGAATGACCTCAAGGTCCCTTCCAGCCCTATTTTTATATTTCCATCACAGAAGTTTTGATTTAAAACTATTTTCCTATAACCAAGTTCCAACACAGATTCTAAAAACATCTCAAATCCAACACAGAAAGGGTTGCCAATCTTCAGCAGAGCAAAAATACCCACCACTGTCTCCCTATTCCTTGCATTGCTGCTGCCCGCTCTCAAAATGGCCTCTGCCTTCTGTCTGCGAGCAGGCACATCAGTATAAAACGAAACAGTACAACACTGAGAGCAACACTCCCCTGATTTGCTACTTTTGATTAATTTAAGGTGATGCTGTGTGCCAGATATACAGACAGTCCTATGAAACATTTGTTTAACTTAATCGTCAAGTATTTTGTTTTGTAAACGTTTCCATACTGCTCCAGGTTCATGCAGCCTTTCTGATATGGATATTCAGTGAGCTAAAATTAATTTAATTACTAAAAATACTAAAAGTAGCTGCACAGGATAAATATTGCTTCCAAGACCCACATCACTGCAGAAGCATATTGATCTGCCATGATGTTCCTCCCCACCACACGCTGGCTTTGCGAGTTCAGGCACATGTAATGGTTTGTGTTTTGTACAGTCTCAACAAATTCCTACACGAAGAAAGATCCCACTCTGTACCTAGTAAGGCAGGAAAGGAAAGCATATCTGCACTTCTCATCCCCTCGTTGCTAGTCACTCATTTTCCTTCTACTTACAGACAGACACTGGCATTTGGAGAAAGCATGTAGACGTTGTTTTCACACAGCGGATAAATAATAATTGCTTTTCCCCAGTAAACGAGATGTGCAGCAAGCTGGAAAACCTGCATTGAGAAAACAGGGAAAAATTAGGGGAGCAAAAGCAAAACTGAAACTCAGCAAGAGTTCCATACATTGACAGAAAAGTCTCGTTTGAGATGAAATGAAAGAAAAATGTTCCACTCTTTCACCCTGCCTTCAGAATAAATTCCCAGTTTAATATAACATGTGGCACATCAAAAAGCATTTGACAAGGGCATGAATTCCCAGAGGTTCGCTTCAACGTTTCTAAATATTTCCTGCCTTAAAGGAATTTCTTCAAACTGTATCTATGGAAGTTAAGTTACTTTTCGTGCCCCAAAAATCTATTTTTGTTTATGCACAAAATGCATTGAAAAATGAAACAAAAGACTCGACCTCTGCCATGATACAAAAATAAAGGAAAGCAACCCTGCCTTTTTAATACACTGAGATATTTCAGTAATGAGTTACACAAAGTGTTTTAATGTGTTAAACAAGTCGGTGGTTGTTAATGGCTCTGGAAGAGCCACATAAATAGCGTCTATGAGACATAAAATCCAGCCTGTATCATTAGATGCGTTTAACTTTGCTTTTTTGTGGAGAACAAAACTACAGCAGCAGTAGGGAATTTCCAGAGTTCATCCCATAGGTATATAACACCAAGCAACACCACAGGCCACTGCAAGCAGACCTAGAAATCTTATTGCAAAACAGGACCTTTCCCTCTGAATAAGAGAAGGCACGGACCTGCCATCAGGAGCACCTGAGATGACAAGCCGTGTTCTTCTCCACTGTCACACAAGGCATCGACTGCACGCCCGGGTCTGAAGCGACCCTGAGAAGTCCAGAGTGGCTCTCCCCTCTCCTGATTCATCTAATACCACCACCAGGCCCGAGCAGTAAAGGGCCGCAATGCCTGCAGTCCTCCGCAGTGGCCCCGTGTCTCAGGTGCTTGCCAGTCTCGCTCCCTTCGCGAGCAGAAACTTCCCTTTTCCAGGGCTCGTCACATCACCTTGAGCAATGCAGATTTGAAATCTGGTTGTCAATACTGGAAAGGCATTCAGAAAGAGCTGCTGCCTTGGAGAGACTGCTTCAAAATTTTTGCGGAAGCCTGAAGTAGAGCTTCTTCCCAGGACTGCAAAGTCCCAGGGAAGCTCTCTTTTAGGCTTTAGCAGAAATTTTCAGAATAAGGGAAATCAATAGGTAGGTTTGCAGAGGCTTTTAGAGCTCTTTAGATGAAAAGATCTTGGCAGATCCAAAGGAAGAAACACATTTAGCCATGGCAGCTGTAAGCTTTCACTTGCATTTTGGGTGCCTCCATTTGCACAGACATCAACGTGGCGGAACCAAGCCAGACCACCGTGGTGTAAGTCAGGAGTAGTATTCATTCTGGTTTTAGCCACCTAACAGGAAGGCACAGAGAAGACAGGTCACTCCTCGCAGAGGGGCACAGGGACAGGACGGGAGGCAGCACACACACACAAGGTGGAAGATGGGAAATTCCCATTAGATACGTGCAAAGTTTTTCACCCTGATGCTGGTCAAACGCCGGACCAGGGCTCAGAGAGGCTGTGGGAGGTACCCTGGAGGTATTTAGAATTTGCACAGACAGGTTCTTCGAGCAGCCTGCTTTGACAGACTTGTCCTAAGCAGTGGGACTCCAGACTCCCGGGCAGCCCTGCTACCCCACAGCACTCTGTGATGGGATGTGGCTGCAAGCCTGTCGAGTGCTGTCGCTGCGCCGGTGCCCTTCCTCTCTCCAACCTTTCCCCACGCTCTAAGGCTCACGCTTTCTCCGTGCACTCTGCTCACACCAAGAGAACCGACGTGCTCACGCGCCACAGACACCCGCTGGCGCACAGAAAGAAAACACCTCGTGATTTAAAAGAATTTCAGCTGCGGCTGACAGTTCCCCGTACCTGCAGCAACGCTAAGTCAGCATCTTGAGCCAGTTGCTGCAAATTCTTCACAGCAGAGGTAGTTTTAATTACTCTCACCAGGGCAGGAGAGCAGTCCAACGGGAGCTCATTAAGCAATGACTTCTCATCATTTAAAAGTAATAAGGCATGGTAAGGCCTGCAGAAAAACAGAATACATTTGCACAGTAAACTGCAGTTTTTCCCAGAGGCTGTTATTGCCAGACCATGGTACCTGGGGTCAATCTACTGGTAAAAAATAGCTTCTAATATCATTCTTTTGCTGTAAGTGGGTTCAGAACAAGCTTATTTTTATGTCACAAAGTAAGATGCTGTCTATAAAATGGGGATAGAGAGTAACTGGATGCCCCAGTGACTAGATAAAAAAGACTGCACTGTGCTGACATGCAATTAATCCCGGAGAACTAGTCTGAAAACTGCTCATCTGCATTACTGAAATACAGAATAGAGTAGAAGAAAAGAAGAAAGCAAAAGTTTGTTACTTTTTCCAGTAGAAAGCTATAAACCTGGAATGCAGGAACTATGGTATCACAGGGCCTGGGGTCTCTTTCTTCTAAAAGCAAAATTCTGGGTCAGCAGATGAAAAACGAACACACAATTCCTCTCTTGCAGCATCACCTCGGTACAACCACCTAATGTTAACAGAAAAGCTGTGGTTTCACACCACCACCTATACAGCAGCATCATGGTACCACGGCGTCAGGTTCAGAGGGTCCTGTATCAGCCCATGCCCCCCCCACCGCTACAGCTCAGTGTCACATCATCCTCCCAGCTGCGCCAGCACAGGTATTTGCAGCACCACACTTGGAACTGGAAGGACTGGCCACACTCTGAAGGACAGAGCTTGCTCTTACCTGATAGATTTCAGGCTTCTCTCAATTGCTTCAGGGGGTATAAAGTTTGTGGCAACATAATGGATTTTATGAGGCAAGCAGAAACTCACTTCCAGCCAGTTGTTGATATGTAAACGGACCACCCCTGTTGTGCAGAGACTAAAATAGGAAGAAAATAAATACATACAGCATTTACCACGTATAACAAAGGAAAACAGTGGTCCAGATTCTCCCCTGCATAGGATAAGACTGAATGTACCTTGTCTATCCCCAGCCTGGCTGAGGACCAGCTGATTCATAGCTGCAAGGGCTCCTTGACTTGTACTTACGGAGCATTATCCCCTAATGAGTGTTTGGGGGGATGTGAAAGCCTTCACCCCAGTGACCTTCTGCTCCCTCTGCTCTTAACACTGCAGCAGTATCTCAAGTTAAAAGAGTTTCTTGAAGATCTACTACAAGGCACTGGAAAATTCCCTAGATCAGAGCTGCAAAGGACAAGATGAATCGGGCGCAATGTTTTCACCTCTGATTTCCATCTTCCTCTCCAAGGAAAAAGAAAAAGAGATGTCTGTACGGGGCAAGGGGTGTTATGAGCAGCACATTTCCACAATAACAGACTCCTTCGGTTCTGCTGTTTCCTACCAAGCTACTCCTGCTTGTCACAGACGTGTTTGCTAAATGCTTTCTTCATTCTAGGAAACCACAGGGACTAAGCTAAGCCTTTAAGCTGACTTCAGACAACAGGGCTGGAGTGGAAGTGATGGACATCTCAGGAATGACAACAAAGTCTGACCCTCATGTTCAGCCTGAAAGCAACTATAAGCCTCTTTTACTGAAAAAAAAAACCCAGAAAGCTGGGAGATGAGAGCACAAATGTGATTCAGGTAGTTCTACAGAAGTCTGTAAATCTTGACAACAGAGGAAATACACCTATATATTTCCTATGTCACCTATAGATGAAATATAGTATATTTGCTTAAAAATGGGTAAAGATACCAGAAGGAGCTAAGCAAGCACCACCTTGCAAACCTTCACAACACTGCCCAGGGAACAGCTTTGCTCAAGGCAGTGGGACTGAGCAGGGAGGAAGAGGCAAGGCCCAGCACATATTTTCAGGTATACTGAGTTAGCAATACATATAAACTTGAAAATCGGTCTAAAGCAACAGCTAATGTGTCTCCACCGGAGAGCTGAATTTCTCAGCATGTCCTATGATTTCAAACTTTGTTCCAAAAGAACTTTCTGGGGCCTAAAATAAAATTTCAAAGTTCGCGCTCTGAAAATTCCAGTCTGAATTTCAAATTCAAGTGTGTTGAGACTCGTAATAGGACTTTTGTGTCATTAACACCCACGAATTTCCCCTCTACACAAAACAGATTTTAAAACATGCCAGGAACAGGCCAGGAGCAGATAAATGTCTTGGAAACTCTTTATGTGGTGATTTAAACATTTATACCTAGCATTCAACTGTAGGCCACAAACTAACATGCTCTTTTTCAAGTTCATCTGGTTGTATACAGGGATTAGAAAGACCTGAAAATTCAGCTTTCAAACAAAAACACTGGGTAGCTTTGGCCGCCAGTGTAACTATTCACCAAACCACAACAGAGTGATGAGAGCGCCAACACAATCCCATCCTGCCCCGTGCATGATCAGACTCATTAGGGAAAAAATCTCACTGCAGAAAATGCTTTTCAAAAGCAAAGGCCACGGTTTTGTTCTCAAATCTTGCACTGACCTCTGAAAAATAACAGATTTTTCAAGTTGCAAACGGAGTAGGTACTATGTATGCTTTCATTTTTGTTGAAAGGAACTGAAAGGATGAATCCACTGTCTCTCTGGCACTACCACCTCACATCTGATCAGAGGCTCCAGACCCTGAAGGAACATGCAAAGCACAGCAAATACCTCTGCAATTCTTGCATTAAATGTTGCAACTCCAGTAACACTGCTTATCCCACCAGTCATACACCAACTGACAAATAAAGCTGGATTCCCTCAAAATACATCAAGGTGAAGGGCATCCTGAAGCAGCGGTTATCCATACTACCTACCAGGCCAAATACAAGAGAAAACATGACAATAAATGAACAGAACAGTTAAGAGACTACCTGAAAGCTACCAGGGTTGTTCCAACAGGTTACCAAAAAGCAGCAGAGGCACATGAAAACATGAAACACTTGCAAGGATATCTTCCCTGAATAGTTTAACATTCAGGAAACAGAAAAAAATACAGTTGGTTCCTTTCGTTCTTTAGTCCAAGTGCACCAAGGCAGAAGCCTTAATTACATAATTATACTCTCCTCAGCATAATTTTGTCTACAGTGCACTATACAAGAGCCTAGAATTAAAGGCAACAAGAAAACCAGTTTTTGGTTCTGATCTGGATCTTAATTTCATTCTTCTACATTTGCATTCGACTGTACAATTTCAAGCCTTTATTATAGCTTTATGTGCATGATTTCTCCTTCACCTGCCCCTCCCTGAATGGAAAATCATTTAAGTTTCTAATAATTTGACAAGGAATAAGCTACATCCCCCAGCAGCAATGTATGCGAGTGCCCTTAACAGCCAGAGTTAAATAATTTCACCCATATATACACAAAGATTCATGCAATGTGAAATGCAGCCAAGTCACAGAAAGTGAAGCTCAGATCCACACTCGTCTTCAGTTTTACAGATTTCCCTATAAGTCATCTATTTAGCAAGTTTTTTTACTGTGAGCCTCACAAACCTCCACGAGCTGCCCCAAGCTTTTTGGCTGGGGACCAGCAGACCCAGAAGCCTCCTTCTTTTATGGGCAGAAGCAGAACGGCAAAAACCAGCAACAGAAGAGAATACCAAGAAAACAAGTTTTCAAAGTCGCATCAGGGAGTCACCCAGCTCCAATTCTACTTTGTTATCCTTAACCAACTAAAACTGTGGAGCAAAGAGTCCGGGCTGCATTGCATGCCATGAACCTCAGGGACACAGTTTAAGTAGCTCCTGATAGGAACCCCAGAGCTGCAAAGATTCAAAAGTGCAGTAGGTACAGCAGGAGTTTACAGAAGCCTCTCTGTTGTTCTTTGCTCATTTCCTTAACCACTCCGCACAGTTTATGAGAATTTTTTGTGGCGTTACTCTACCCCAAGCTTTTTCACCGAGTTGTCATTTTCACTGAACTACCTGCTGCAATTCCAAAACCTCTTTTCACAGCAGTTACGTGCTATATAAGGGTTGTTTGGCTTTACATGTATTACTTTACATCTATCTACAGGGAATTTCATCTGCTGTTCTACCATGTAACTGGTATCCAGAGACCTTGCTGCAACTTTTCCTTCTTCCCCCAGACTTCAAGTGTAACTGGGCAAAAGCAGCTTCAATTCCCATACTCTAACTGGCTATTTAGCCCTCAAAGACATCCCATTTTACCCCATGAACACCTAGTTTTAACAATTTTTTTAAAAAATCTCTGATAATACATGATGAGCGATACTGAGGGATACATGGTGAGGGATTAGGATACTGCGAGGGGATATTAGTCTAAAATTAGACAGGGAGAAGTAAATAGGAAAAAAGCTGTTTAATGTCTCTCCATTGTAAAGACCTAGGAGACATCTCATGATACTAGAAGAAACAAAGTTCAGAACAAATAGAAAGAAACACAGAAACTAGTTAAGCCATGGAGCTCCTTATCAGAGGATGCTGTAGTTGTTAAACATTTACTCTGGCTCACAGGATTGTGGACTAATTCCGGGAAGTGAGATCAGCTGAAGGCTGTTGAATATACAGAAACCACCCCCAGAGCTGCAGGAAGCTGGGGAACATTTTTTGGAATATCACTGCTCTTTTGCTCTATTATGCTCTGCCCTGAACAGCAGCCGTGAGCCACTGCCCCAAAATGGGAACCCAAAAGTTGGCCCGTATCCCACAGAACTGCAGCCTTCTTTTTCATAACTATTGGCAAAACAAAGACAATCCCACCTCATATTCAATAAGAGAGTTATGAATTTTTACATATACAAACCTCATTTTATGTCAAACCTATTTATATCAGAAATTAATGTTTTCTAGTTTGGTGAAGATGAGCTTGTAATTTTGGAGTTTGTTTATATTTGTTAGAGGTTGTGACTACTTAGAGCTTTGAAATTATTTCACGTTTCCTTGTAAAGGACACGCTGACCATCCTTTGATCAAATAACTGTAATTGGGTTTATATTTTACAGTACAGCCACACAAATTATATCTAATAATTCATTAGATCTCATATAATTATTCCACTTCTCCCTGAGCTGCTGAGATAGGCTTGATCTACCAGTCAATTCAAATCCCACTGGGCTAAAAACATATAAAGGCTCTGTGTGTATTAAAAAGAAGAAACAAACAATCCAATCCTCCCAAAAAGCCTCCCCATACTTTCACTTCGATTCCAACATAAAGCTAAGAGAAGTTTGCTAAAACCAGCAAGCAGTCAGCTAGTATCGAGCTAACATATTACATGCAGTTGCAGATAAAACTTGATGAAAGCTGTCTTAACTCCCTAAATTGAACAGTGGCTTAAAGAGACACCCATTGTAACACTGGTAAATTTTTCAGTGCTGGAGGTAATGGCAACTGGACTTTCTTGGTCCTGAAGTCATTGCTTTTTGTTCCACACCCATGCTGGATTTTGGGGATAAGATGAACGAAGACTCTCAAATCTACTTTCTGAATTAATTAAAAAGAAACATTCTAGTTTTCTCCATTCCTTTTCTCTAAAAAGATCCCAGGAACTAAATGTTGATTACCTCTAAACTGTCAGGTTATTAACACTCCATTAACTACAGGAGCAATAGTGTTATAATCAAGATGACCTGGCTGTTGGTTCCCACCTTATAAAACACTGACATTTCACTCAAAAACGCAAGGGACATTTTGAACGATAAAAAGATTCATACGCTTGTGGTTTTGTACAAACCAACTTGCTAAGGGGACATGTTGGGTCTTGCTTGAAATACCTCAGCACCATCTACAGGAAACCAAGGGCTCGACAGCACCTCTGGAGCAACCCTGAGAGTTGAAGAGGCCTTTGCCTGGAGCTGCAGAACCCGGAGCCCTGCGTTCCCATCTGCAAGTCGAAGTGCTCTCTCCACTTCACTGTGCTCTTCCCCTATGCCAAACGCTATGCCAGAAATCTCTGTAAATTTAAAACAGCACATTGTCACTGCAGGCATTTGAACACTTCCCAGCAGTCTTTTCTCCTCTAAAAGAAACACACCAGATCTTTCAATCTTTCCTCTTAGGTCATTCACACTCCTCCACACTCTCTAGGTGGCCCAAATCCTTCTTCAAATGTGACGCCCGAAACTGGATACAATATTTATTACAGCAGGGGCTTTACAATCCTGAGAGGGATTGGCTCCGATCTTACAGACAAGACTTTTATTTTATGCATTCTTGTCTATTTGCTTTTTCTGCAACCCCATGTCACTTGTGACTAACGCTCATTTCGTAGAAGACCACACAGACTTCACTCCTGAGCTGCTGCCACACAGGAATTCTTCATCTTGGAGTTGCAAAATAAAAACTCTATTTCTAGACCATTTCTTCTACCTCACCAAAAAATTAATTTTAATTCTACGCCTGCCTGGCAAGGTGCTGCTGCCTCTCTCAACAGATCTGATTGCAGATGAAATACGTGTGTTTCCTATTCTCTCATATGAAGCATTAATGGAAAAATACCACAGAACACCACCTTACTACCCAGCCAGCTACTTATTCTTCAAATAGAGCTTTCCAACCAAATGCACAGACATTTTATTTTCTTATCAACACCTTATTTCTTACATTAGCTTACAACAATGTCACGTAAAAGTGTCAAAATATAACTTGCACCACTTCTCCCCCACTCACAATGCCTAAAGGAGGAAGACCCTGCCTTATTTTACATCTTGGGGGCAGCATCAATGTGTGTTTCTCCGTGGTCAGTCTATTCCTCCTCTTCATGTCATGGAAGGGTTGTCTTAGCACACTCCAAGAGCTTGGGCCATATGTTCCTCCAGTCACTGCTAAATGCCACAAGATGTCACTGTGTCACTAAAATGTTTGGAAGCATTTTAGGGTTTGCCCAGCCACAAATACATAGCCCTAGAGGAACAGAAAAATCTAAGTAGTAGGTCAAGTTTAGTATTAGCATTACAGGCTACATAAAGTGTGCCTTATTTTAAACTTTAGTTCAGATTTTGTGCAAGTTGTATCAAACAATATACAACATTCCTTCCAAACATGCTGAAATTCACAGCTCTTGAACTTAGCAAAAAACAGCTTATTAGTTTTCTTAATGTGTTTTGCAATCATTACATTATTTAGGCTCTCAGTGCCTTACCTTACAGCTGTGGCTTTGCCATTATTCCCTTTGTACAAAGGGAACTGCAATCTAGGGAGGCTAAAGGGTCTGTCTGATGCCATACAATGTGCTCTACAAAGAACTCCAGAGTAATTCTCCCAAGGCCTGACAAGCACCCTAATCAAGGGGCACATCATCTCCCTCCCCACCAAAACCTTCTGTGCTCCTTTGTCAAGGTCTCTGGCCAAGGCTGAGGACTGCCTCACCTGAGGACTCCGCACTGACAAGCTGTCAGAGCAGAAGCACGCTGGAGGAAGCTGGTGCCAGCTCCTGCTGAAATTCAACACTAACGCCGCGCTCCTTTGAAATCCTTGCCAGAACTTTTAATCCAGTCAAGAAACAGCATGTTACACTTTTCATTCAGCTGAAAGTCTCGCCACCTAATCCAGATTTACTGTCCAGACATGCACAGTGTAACCAAATGAAGCCAGGGCAGTGTATCTGACTTGCCATCAGTGCTACGTGAAGCATTTTTCTCTTGGCTGCAGGTTTAGAGCATTTCTGCAGCATTATGATATTCATATTACAACACTTTCCAACTCTACAATCCACTTGTCATTATGTGCGTCTGTGCTAAGGAGGAAAATAATTCTGAAAGCTGTGACAAACATCACCAACTTTAAAGAACTTTTAACATATCCAAAGGGAGACCAAGGTAATGATTAGGATAGCAATTCTGCAAACATTTTGCCTGGCAAGCTAGGTCTGAAACACAAATCCCAATGAGTCAACAGCATGAAGAGGGGGATAGCATTTCAGTGAGAACCAATATACTGTGAGCTGGCAAGAAAGTCCCACTTACCTGTCATATGTCTCTTTGAGATCTCTGGCCAGTTTGCACTTGGGTAGGATGTGATGAAAAGGTGACTGTGGCCCTTCTGTGGCTATGGGAAATTTCAAAGCAAGAAAGCAAACAACTGATTTCAAAGCAAAGAGTTTCCTCTTCCCATACTACGTACCAACCGGTATCTTAGGGACAGAATCCATATCTTTCCAATATACAATTATCTTTCAAAGCTTTTACAGTAACTCAAGTTACGTGTTAGAGTAATAATAGTGAATTATTGCCAACTTGACCTACACCTCAACTCAGTTAAGCACATGTAACTGTGAGTTTGACAAGTGATGATTTTAAGTGTTTTTAGTTTTATACATCAGTTTTAATTTTTAATGCTTGCAGCAAGATGATGCATTACTGTCAGACAGAGCTCACCCTAAATAGTGCACGTTATTATAGTACACTGCTCTGAAATACAGCCTATAAAAACGCTCTGTAACTGTTTGCTAGCCATGGTAACAACATGTTAAGAGTAAATTTTCCACACAAGAAGTCTGGTGACTCAGCACACAGCATTAAAGCATGGGAAACTTGCTCTAGGTTGGGTGAAGCAGTCTACGTATGTGTTCTTCCATCTCAGCCTGACAAGAAGTTCCAAATGTGATGGTTCAGTGCACATTCTCCAGTGATGGCGCTGAACTGAGCTAGTAAGGAAGGTAAAGAAGCTACTTTACTTCTAAAGCTGACATCTCTGCGTTGGGATAGTGCTCTTGGATGAGGTAAAATCCTGTCAAAGGCTGTCAGAATGCTAAAGAGCACCAGAACTTGTTCATACTGATCCCAGCCACAAAAGAAGTAAGAAGACACAATCAGCACTTTTCTGAAAAAGTGCTCCTGGACAAACATATTCCTGCACAAAGCTAAGCTCAGCACTCACTTTCTGACATGGCAGACACTTCGTCCTGAATAGCCAAGATCAGCTTGGCCTCCCTGGTCAGGTATTGGCAGCGGCGTTCCTCATGCTGCAAGACGATGGCGATCCTTCGGGAGAGGTTGTGTAGGCAGTTTATCACAGAGGGATCGGCATTGGCCTGCAGGCAACACAGAACAGAAACAGGCTGGTCACTCAGCCACAATCACATCTACGGAACTGCAGTGATGGAGAAGGAGTCAAAATAATTATCGTCAGTAGATACTGAAAGTCAGGCTCTGATAACTGGCAAAAGAAAGGAATTTTCTCTAGCAGCAGCAAAGCAGAAGCTCAGAGATGTCCAGAGGTAAAGAGAAAACTCAGGGATTTCTAAGCTTGTCTATGTGCATCAGATGAACACAGCACCTGCAGTATGATACTCCCCCATCTGGTTTATTTTCTGCAGTTGCTAACGAACCTTCCACTAGAGAGACCATTCCACACAGTGAGAAAAGAAAGGGTCAAGCTATTTGAAAAGCTGAAATATTACAATGTTCAAGTTAAAGTCCCTGGGAGTGTAGGACTGCAGTGCCTTTAACACAGCCCGTTCAGTCCATGTCGCTGTACTGCTGGTTGTCTTCTATACTGACAAGACAGTAACTAGGTGAGAAATACCAACACACGATCAACAACTTGATCTCAAACCAAAATGAATGTGGATTTACGCTCCCAAACATTTCACAAATATGGCTTATTACTAACACTGCATTCATGCAAGCCCCAGAGTGAAAGTGCTGGAAAAATCTATTGTGTAAGTACAGCTGACAAGGTGGGGGGGGGGACACACTCGGTGGCTCCAGTCTGAGTAAGCAGCTGCTTCTTGTTTGTTAAGACATTTAAAGGAGTTTACAGTTCTAGCAAGCGATAACTTGGCATGTACACCAGCAAACCATGAGTCATCATTTTTTGATTCCACTGTTCTTGCTGAGTCACGACACGTTGGTAACCCTGAAGCTTAAACACAGCAGGATCGGTGCTGATTATAGCACTTGGGACTCTGCCTGCTCTGTCTGCCCACTGCAGATGGACTCTCATCTTTATCTCTTTGTGCCTCCACCCACCCTCTGCAGCGCACTACACCATGCTAGGAGAAAATTTTCACTTGCCTCTTGAACAGCACTTTCCAGAAACTTGACAGCTCTCTATGAAATAGGAGTGTTTTATTTGGCAAATAGGAGTTAGTGCTGCATTACACACACAAATTGCATCAGTATCATCACATTGCCAAAATGCAGACCAAAAAAAAAAAAAAAAAAAAAAAAATAGTCTTCATTGCACTTCACCAAGCTCTTGCAATATTGTGAATGAAAAGCACTGGTTTCAACACTTCTGCTTCCACACGACTCAACGTGCACGAATATTTCTGTCTGCATGTGCATCTACACACACTTACCTACAACCAAAGCATGGTGCTTCACCTATACACCAAACACCAAATTTCTTGAAGCTAATGTCTCTTAATGGGTGAAATCTAAAATCAAATCCTGTACTGCAAATTCAGCACTTCCTGACCTAACGATGTCCCAGAGCACAAGAACACTAGATCCCTCAGCAAAGCTCAGTGAATGATTTCTTGCTGGATTCAGACCAATTGCCAGGATAATTGTCTTTGTGTGAAACCTTGCTGTTTAACTGAGGACAAGTCTTCTGGTTTGTCCACGTCCATGTTAGTCACCACTGCAAAGCCAGCGGCAAGAAAAATACTAGTGCTCTAGTGCTGAAAGGAAGAAAAAAAAAAGGTAATTTCATAAGCAGAGAGCTGGAGGCTTTTAAACCATGACATCATATCCAGTCGAGCAAAAATCAACCATTTCCATAAAGACAGCTATTCCAACTCCTTTATTTTTAAAATGTTTCTTCATATGTATACATGACAAAAGAATAATATGATGGCTCCACAGATGCAACCTGCGGGCTGGGAAGAGAAAGCCAGAGCTCAGAAATCAAATACTGCTCGAACATAATGAAATTTTTAGGGCTTTATACCACCTAATTAGCCAGGCCAGCATCCCTTAACACAGACACCAATATCTAGTCAGTAGAGTAGGCCTGAAAAAAATTCCAAGCAAAAACTAGGTATTTGCTTCAGGTTCTTGCTGAGCATCAAAAGTTATTTATTCTTCACTTGTACCTTCACCTCATTTAGAATGCTACAGCTGCTGCTCCCTGGCACTCTTCCTTTACAATGATCTCATTGATAAGAGGAGTCATCTTTCAAACACTGGCCATTTAATTATAAAAAAAGCCTAGAGACACTGAGCAAAGGCACATGTCTCTGTATCATACAGCATGAGTAAGGGTTCAAAACAGTGCTGTTCAGAGCCACAGCAGGCTTCTGAATGACTCTGCACTGCAAAGCTTGGTTTGGCCAAGGCCATGGTGGGGACCTGACTCTTAAGGCTGGCCAAGCATGAGGCACTGTCCACACCAGCTGCTGCCTCTCTTCTGGAGCAGATCCGACCACCAAGGCCCGAGCTGCACGGAGGCACAAGGGCTGGGCAGCACGCTACTGCCGCTGGGTGGATCTGGGCCTATCCCAGGCAGGAGTAGAGCATCACGTACAGAGAACAGCATCCAACACACAGGGCGGTCAGACCCAGGCTGCCTCCTTGCACAGCTTAGGTGGACAAGCCTCAACTGCAGAGTCGAGAAAAATCACAGCAGATTCCCAGCTCACTAATAACAGGAGACAAGAAACATACAGGACTTGCAACTGCATTCGTGGCTATTTTGCAAAGTGTCCTCTTGCATGCCTTTACACTCTGGGTATTTAAAATCAAAAACTCTAGAAACGTCCTGAAGAGAACAACTGTACTTGTTTTCCACTGGGCTGGAAAACTTTTCCACTTGTTAGTGTCATATTCCACGTTGTTTGGGTTTGTTGTTTCAGATTAAAACATCGCAATGAAATCAGGCACTGAATGTTTTACAGGAGATTACTGGGACACGAGTCTACCGCATTCTCTTATACATCCGAAGCACATCCCAATGTCAGACGGAATGAAGACTGTCCTTACCCTTAGTGCAAATACCACGTTGAAGAGAATCATAGTGGGCATCTCTCTCTTTGGTGAGGGATCAGTTTTGGATACCTGAAAAATAAAAGGGCTAACTCAGTCAAATAACAAGTTTGCTGCAAAAAGAGAGCAGACAATTCAAATTATACCATCAAATTTGACTTTTAAAAAGTGAAAATAGGGGACCTTTTTATGCCACAGACACTCTACAAGAACCACCTTTTCTGAGAAGCTGTGAAAACTTAAACCAAAGCATTTTGGTCATGACCATGGGAATGAGAATCAGTTAAGATAGCTGTCTTATTAGGTGTCTTCACTATTGTATTTTAGCATCATTAGTGACCCTAGGTGTAAATTCCTTAGCACAGCTGTCATATACATTAATCAAAGAGAAATCCATAGATTTCTCACCCCAGGCCACACACTCTTTCCTTTCCTAAAATCCTCCTTTGGATTGCATCATGTTACAAACTGTTGCTTTTAATCAGAAAAAAATATGCTCTAGAACTGCAGTACTAAAATAAAAGGTTTGATTTTCCCTTCCTGCAGGACTTCAAACACATTCTCTGCCCCTCCCTATTGTTTCTGCAGCAGAGATCTTTATCCCTAACGCAGGCAGAGACTTTCTGCTGGGGAGGAACAGTGGAAGCCAAGACAAGCAAGTTGAATTTGCACATCCGAGACTAACAACTCTGAATGGAGCAAGCGTCACCACAAGATGGAGCACAAAATCCAGAGGACATTCCTGCCACCCCCGAAGCTCCCTGCTGAACACCCATCCCATCCCAAGTGAGAACAGCTATAACCTGCCAGGCCAAACACCCAGCTAACCTAAATTCGGTCTCTACCCAACATATGTGCATCTGAGACAGGGCAAACACGGAGAAGGTGGCAAAGGCAGAGATGCATCCACCCTTCCTGACAGATCCCAAGCATCAGCAACGAACTGCTCAGCAGTGAACTCCACAATCGGAGTGCTTTCACTCACTAGTCTTAAAAAAATAGAGAAACTATAAGAAGTGATCCATATTTTTGTTTTTTCTAAGTTCTATCAAAAAGACAGTGATGGGAGGGTGGTAAAGCCAATTTACTGTGTTTATTTGTTCTGGAGTTACAGGCTCCAGGATGTCTTGTGAACTTCAAGAAAGACTCAAAAGCATTTCTGAGTGTAGGGGCTGATCCTATTCCTTCCTTAAAATCAAAAAGCTACCACCATTAACATCAGTTGGGATGCAGGCCAGATTTCATATCATCTCTTGTCTAGAAAAAAGAAGAAATGACTAAGCTGGTTAAGAAAATGCTGAAGGAATCTGAAGAATTCAGAATATTGCTACATAAAAGGTGGTCTGGCACACATGACTAAATATTTGTGCTCTTGTAACTCCCAAATCTCATCTGAGTAAGAATTTGATGAGCTGTCCCTTGGATTAACACTGCAGTATGAACTCTGAAGAAACTCAAACCAGAGGCTGTCAGGTTACTCCGGCCACTGCCTTTGTTCCACGGGAAAGGAGCTCCATCTAGCTTCCTCCTAGCTGCAAAAGGAGCCCAGATTTAGACTCAAATAAACTAGCAGAGATGGCTGCCATGTCTAGAACATTCTGGACACTAGAAAGTTCTGGGGTGCCTACCAGGGTGATAAGACACACCCAAAAAGATCCTACAAGTAGTAACAAAAAAGTGTTCACAGCATTTTATAAGTTTATTTATCCAGATGCAATTTTATTTAGACAAATTGAAAACGAAGAGACGTTTCATGCAATGAGGATAAAACTGACTGGAAAGTGGATAAAAAGGTATAGTAATGTGTGGTGAAAAAAAATCCAACCACAAATTTGCAACCTCATTTACAGCACATTTAGGAAGTTGTGCCTTTTGGCCAAGATGAGCAAAATAACAGAATCTGACACTGTGAGAGAACAATCCCACAGCTGTCAGGGCCCCGAAAGGTCTCAGTGGCCCTGGGCCAGTCCGGATGGGTCCCCCATCTCACATGCTAGCCCGAGACCCAAGAGTCCCATTTAAGCTCAGCCCAGGGCCTGGAGGTGTGCCTGCCTCCAGCCCTGCCTCCTGGCTGGCCCTTCCACCTGCGCTGTATGTGGCTTGTTTCCTGGCTGGCCCCAAGTCCACCGCAGCCTCGTCCCCCAGCCCTGCCTCTGGTCCTGCCTCCTTCTGCTCCCGGCTGGGGTCTGGACGGACCCTGGGCCTGCTCCATCACTTGCCTTGTCTGGGGCTGCTGACGCGCTTGGGGACACTTGAACTCTGTCTTCCAAACCAGCTCAAACATTTGAGGACAGAGTCTTAGTGATCCTCATCGCATTTCTTGTAGACTCACGACTGAGTTTCAAAAGTGGAACACTAGCATTTTCTGATGCTTGAGGCCAGTTCCTCACTTGGATTAAAACAGTCTGGTCCTCTAAATATCAAGCAGCAGTTGCCAACAATCTGTTTGCAACTCTAATTATAGATAGAGAGGATGATAGAATTGGCAAACGGATTTTTTCCCCTAAAAAAAAAAAATGAACGACTTAGTAAATTTGATGAAAAATGAGACCAAAGCAGTTTAGTGACAGAGATCACTGTTGGGTTCAGAAATTACCAAAGCCTAGTTAATTCTTACAGTTTATTAGGAAGAAGGAATGAGACAGGGAATATTTTGCCCACAGAAGCAGATAAGTTCTTTCCTGGGTTTAAGCAGGACCCTTTCCATAGCCTAGGTGGCAACTGCTTTCACTGCAAGCAGTTAAAATACAGACCACAGAGCAAGGTCCCAATGCAAAGAGCAGCCTGACTTTGTCCACAAGAAAGTATCAGACCTCTTTCAACATCCCACTTATTCCAACCAAGCCTTGCGAATCATCTTCAGCACCAGAAAAGAGTTAAAAGCCAAACAAGGCTCTGATGCAGCTTGTGAAGGATTTGGGTGTTGGTTTTTTTTAGCTGCCATACTAATTAGAGGTGCCTAATTAGAGGTGCTAAAAAGCTAACTTGCAATAACTAACTGAGTGAGAAACAGCTTTTTGAGCTGGACTGCTTAGTATTACTTCTCTTTACCCACACTGCTTTTTGACAGTAACCAGAAGGGGGTTTCTGTGAATCACTGACCCAGCTCCCGCAGTTTGCCACTCGCTGTATTTATCTGGAGGTAAGTAAAAGACAGCTTTGAGCATCAGGAAGTAAAAGCAGGATCAAAGGCCAACAAGCACATTCTGAATTCTAAGTTTCCGCAGTGAGCCAGGCAGTTTATAAAGAAGGCCGGTCCCCAGAGTGGACTTCATCCCATACCTGGCCAAGCGCATGCTGAAGCAACGTGGGATGACCAACAAAGCGAACGTTATCAATCTTCAGTTCAAACTTTTTGCCACACATATCTGACTTGGTAGCCAAAATTGTTGCCAGGATGACATCCGAAAACCTTGAAGAGCAGAAACATAAGTTATTACAGTTTTCAAAAAGCAAACCCCCAGAATATTCCTCCACATACAGGAATATTTAACTCACAAGTTTTTAAAGCATTTTGTATCTAAATTGCTGTACCTGGAGTACCACCAATTATGGAAAATTAAGAACCCCTTAATTACTTCTCTCAGATCATCACAATTATAAAACAGGAAGCATTCACAAGACTGCAGGGTCATGCTTATTTAATTACATGCTCAGCAAAATACATTGGAAAGATTAGATGCAGTTCGCTTAAATATCAAAACAGCTCAAGTTAGCCATTGCCTGGATTTAGCTGCAGGTTAATGAACTTACTAAGCAACTACATATTGACACAGCCTGTCACTCAAGCACAACAGAGATCTTTAAGCCACCCAGTATGGCAGAGAGGAAGGCAAGAAAAAGCTGATTCACTCACAAGAAACATACAACCAATGCTTGTCCTTCCTTTCCCAAAGCTCATCGGTGAGGTTCAGGGTTACTCACTTAAGAGATCTGAACCTGTGGTCAAGAGACCACTGGCACCCTTCCGAGAGCTGCCTGGCTTCACCTGGGCTTTCTCATTTGATAAACCCAACTGAGACAAATTCATGACAGGGCAGGCCCTTCCCAACACCAACCACTGGTGTTACTGGATCGCTCTGAGTCGGTGGTGGGAAGAAGGCAGCTGCGAGACGGGAGGGCAAGTATCTACAAGGAGTCTGCCCTGCAAAATACAGCTACCACTGCAAAACCAGGTGAGAATCCAGAGTGACAAGGGAGGAATTCTGCAATTGCTCTGTCTGAAGGCCTTACAACATCCGTCTGGTCTCTACAAACACTTGATTTCCTCAGGGTGCCCCCTGAGACAGTGGAGCTCAAATCCACAGGGAAGAAGAACACAGCTGCCAGAGGGAACTTGTTCTAGAACAGGAGCAGTGCAAGGTTTGATATCAGCAAGTTCTTTCCTCATCTGATTTCTCAGAGGCTCCCATTTAACCACAGAAATTTCAGACCAGCTTCTGATGAGACCAATTTTTTAAGAATGAAGAAGTTTATTTCATTTTCTTTATTTACATTCAGGGATATACGTCCCTGTCAGATCATCCCCCTCCACCAGACAGGTATCCCAGATAACCCAGTATCACTCAGAGAAAAGGGCAGGCATGGGTGTGTGCTGCGCTCACCTTATCTCTTGGCCACAAGTGAGCCCTCGATGCCCAGAGAAGGACTTAATGCACCATATTCCTGCTTCGGTCTGAGTGAGCTATGGAGTACTACAGAAATTAAGACAAATGCACACAGACAGGTCTTTTGTGTCTATCCATCTGCATACGACCCATGGGACATTTCTTTTATTAGACCTACATATACTGAAAATGAAGGACAACAGAAGGGCTTTACAAACCGTCAGAGCCTCTGGTGTTTGTACAAACAGGTCATCCTGACCACAGCACACTGCTTTCATTTGGCTTATGGAAGGAGCAGCTGTGTACATACTTCCAGATCCCTGGCTGCTCTGCTTCAAACACAGCTAAGGGCAAGCAGAGAGAAGGCAAGACTAGCCAGAGACTCCTAGGGCCACCGAGCCCACGCTCCTCAGCCACCCCACTGTACAGCACACAGTTTGTGAAGAAAGGGCAAAGCGTCCTCAAACAGGATCTGGACTGACAGTCCCTGGAGATCACATTCAAAATAGGAAAAAAATGTCACCGTGACAGCAGTGAGCTTTCCCCCCCTCTTTCTGCCCTGTTCAGCTGTGTTCATTAATTGACTCATCATGGAGCCAGGAAGACTGTCATAGCAATGGTTCCAAAACGAGCATATGCTCTGTGGGGTGAAGGGAGAAGGAGGGTAAACTAGAAAATGCCTGCTTGCTGGTGAGAAATTAGTTACTCTTCCCTCCCCCAGCCTTGGCAAAGGATACCCTGGGAGGTGGAAAACCGATCATTATGATGACTTTCACCACTGTTAAGATTTGACTTTTACAAGGAATTACACCAGCAGATCTTTTAACAGATAAATGTGGGGCTAATATAACAGTTCAGCAGTTCCTCAGCAGAGCTCATGACACCTACAGCCTTCTGTCTGCCCCTGTGGGGAGGCGGAGATGAAAAGCCTGATTTTGTAAAGTCCTCAGTTTCTTTTCACTAGCGGAGACTTCTCTTTCTGGGAGAGGAGGGTGACTGCAGCCAGATGACACGCTCAGGACAGATAACGCTGTGATGGGTTACACGGGTGCTCCCTGATGGGTACAGACACCTGGTAACACCACAGGCTCTCTCAAGAGCAACCTGGACTCCAGTCCTCTCTCTCACCTGACAGCCTACATTTCTTGGTTTTGCTGGTTTGGGTTTTTTTTCCCCCCCTCCCCAATGCTCTACGTAATTTATACATTCCTTAGACCTCAGGATGATAGGGAAATTGAGGGACAGCAGATACATTATTCCCATCATTTCAATTCATCAACTCATCTTAGAAAATAACACTTTTACTTTAAATATTTTAATACTGATTTTCTAATCTCCGAGGTATATTAAGATGACCTAAAAATACTGACTTATCAGAGTCCAAGAGTTTGTTAGAAGCAGATTAGGTTTCACAGTTGGGCAGTAACAGTCCCTTCTCCTTTTATGAGATTAGTCTGAGCAGTGTGATTTCCAGAGGGAAGCAAACCTCTCCTGCTCTCAGGAATTCAGCAGGCAGAAACTAAATACAAAAACCAAAAGCTTTGGTTTGCCCAAAATATCCTACCGCTCCTATCACAAGCTCAACGTAGCAGCGACAACAGACAGACCAGCAGTACGATACAAACCACACTAGGGCAGATCCACTGCTGTCACCAGCATCTCCTCTGGAAACCCAGCTGAAACAACAATGGCTTTAGCACACGGAAAGGGAGGGGGAAAAGAATCTCAAACACAAATTCATTTTTTCCCCAAGAATGGATAATAACTTTTTATATGCCACAGGAATTCAAAACAAGATTTTAATAAAGAATTCTTCTTTGAAATAGTTTAGAATGGGAGCTGCGTAACTAGGTGAGCATCTTTATGTTAAGCAGGGACTAGAGAGACAGTTTAATACTTCTGGGGCCCTGGGCTGAGATAACCACTTCTCCTTCCACACATTCATAAAGGGGGTATAATGCAATCAACCCAGTTGAGCTCAGTGGGGCACCAAGAACAAGCAACCAGCACAAGCTGCTCAAAACCAGGTCTCTGAAGAGCTCTCCATAAACACTGTGGGATTAAATAGTTTACTCACTGATCTGTACTTTTAAGTCATTGCTCCTCAGAAAGCAATTTATTTTAGAGCTCCTTTTGGAATAACTACAATGCCAAGACTACACTTGTTGCATTCTCGAAGGATCACAACTTTTCTCATTTCACAGAAGGGACAGTACCACACCCATTCTGGATACCCTACAGGAAGCACAGAAATGTTAGTAGGACCTTTGTAATTATCCTAGCATAAACCTTTAGCAATATGTCTCCTACAGACATTGTGATTTAGCATATAATTATCTCATCATTCAGTGTAAAACAGAAACCAGAAACAAAGCACAATTAAAAGGATGGTGAGAAAAGAAAGCCATTCTAGACAAAGGTGATTGTTTAGAACATTTGGTCTTACCCTGAAACCAATTGCTCATCAGTTAGAGGACATTGGTCTCTGAAATGGGAACATGGCCATAAACACAAAACAAAACACAACAGAAGAAAATAAACGAGGCAAGTACACAAAATACAAAAAAAAAAAAAAAAAAAAAAAAAAAAAAAAAAAAAAAAGATAATATTAAAAACTAGGATGAACTATTAAGGGTTAAACTCCTGTAAAGGAAACATAACTACTGAGAAGAGTCAAAAGTTAATGGTAGGTGAATTCCAGGGATGTACTGCAGGCTTAGACTGACAACATGCCGAAAGCAGGCTAAGGCATTTTAGACCTCCCACTAACACTGGCCGCTGTACTGTGTCCCCACAATCCACTGCATTTATGGAGCTGTATCACACTGGACTTTTTAATTCATGCTTACCTTAGGAGAAAATAGCAGAGGTTGCAGTCTGAGAGCAGATTCTAAACTTGAGGGTTTTCTCTACACTATTAACTAGTACTTTCACCCAAGGAACAGCCTGTGCAGCACCGAATGACCCACAGCTCTTCACAATTGGTTCTGGCGCTTCCATACCCACAAGACTTAGAAAAAGAGGATGCCACACACTTATTGCTGCACGCACAGGCAGGATTCTGTAAAGGGCCTTGCACACAGAGCTGCTGCTGCTCTCCCCAGGGATCTAAACAATAGGTACAAGTCTGTCCAGAATCACAGCACAAGCATGAAGTCATTCTTCATCTGTCTCCCCCAGGCAAAGAGCAAAAACTCAGGACAAGTAGGCTGAAAAAGTTTTCAAGGCAAAGAACCTGAAAACCTTCTTTTCAACAGGCGTAGGGTGCAAGGCTCTGTTAACAGCTGTACTCACTTTTATATCAGAAAAACAAACACCTATTTTAATTTTAATAGTTCGCTGCTTTTTGTTCCAAATAACAAGATAAAAAAAGGGACTTGTTTCCTGAAACAAACTTCCTAAATATACTGAAAAATGAATCTGATAAAAACCTTTATGCTGTCCATAGAGATAAAATAAAAACCTCCAACAATTACTAATCCAAAAGACAGCAGATTTCTACTGGTCGTTTTGAAAAGGGAATCTAGAGCAATCCCAAATGACAAACTATACAAAGGGGGGTGATATTACAGGAAGGGTGTTTTTAAAGGGATGGGTGGATGAATGGAAAAGCATGGGCTTACAGAAAGGAAGCCTTTCAGAATAAATACAAGGAAGAACACTGGAGTCCAGTGAAAGAGGGACAGAGGATACAGAAATGTTATCACAGGAGAACTACTGTTTGTTAGAAAGGGACATTCAAGTCCTTGTTTGTCAGTAACTTGACTTTTTTTATAACAGAAGCATTTGGCCAATTAATGACATCAATGCTGTCAAACTTGCTAAACCTCCTTCAGTTAGTCAGTTATGCTACTAAAAAATGCAAAGTCTGGTGTAACATATGTTACTATACATGCATCTTCATTAGAATTTTTGCTTGCTGACTATACCACCTTCAGAAAAACTACAAAATACATTTCAAACCAATTTAACAAAACATTATCTTATGGCTTCAAAAGAGTAATTGCCTCCTGTTCTTTCAGGGAATAAATTAAAAAAAAAAAAAAAAAGACTGGCAGGCATCTGGATAAGCAGTGAGGGGTGTGTATCACTGGTAAAGTATGCAAAAACTGAAGGATGTTTTTGAAGAGAGTAAAAACAAATGATGAAAGGCTGAGAAGAAGCCAACAGAAACACTTGACTGGCAATTCGTTTTGACAGTGACAGATTCCTCTGAACACCTTTTTGCTGCGTGGCCACCATCAACACACCTCAACTACTTTCGCTGGTTGACTTGCTTTTAAAAGGAAGAAAAAATCTATATCCTGAAGATCCAAACACACAGCTCCAGGAGAAATTAATACAAGTAGAAATGCTACACTGTAGAAATTAATACAAATACACACCAGTAACCTAGAAGTAGGATTGTATAGGCTGCAATTGTCTATAAAAAACAAAGAGCACAACAATCACCAGTAAATTTGAGTCTGAAGGCTAAAAGAAATCCAGTTATACATACATATGTGCTATGTGGAAATGGAGAGTTAAGGCACCTAAACTGATCTAATTTTGTCCTTTCTGATGCCATAAATAAATACATACACCTCAACTGCTCCAGGAAAGGTCAGCTCAAAAGTAATCGATGTGGGTTCCAATAGCTTAGGAAAAAAACAACGCACCTTATCTAGGACACAGTCGGTGCTAGATTGCTAGTAAATCAGACAGCCATTCGGTATAAAAATGGATGAATCCAACCCTCATGAGAACTACTGCAGCAACAAGACCAATCTGAAATAACCTTTGCTACTGAACACAAAAACATGGGAAAGACCCAACCCTTCCACATTATCAAACCTGCCACACACCATCAACTCAACCAAGCAGTCTGTCCGCTCCAAAGCTTCAATTTGTGCCACCAAAACCATCCACAGATGCTACTGATGCACGGTGATTTAAAGGGATCTTTTACTCTTCCTTGAAGAAGCCTTCCAGAAATAATAGGAAACTACTTAATGAAATACTTTCATCAAGGACAACTCCAATCAGCAAATCACCGCCACGACAAAATAGGCCGATGAAACGTGTCCGTGGACTCCTGAACTGTTTGGGCAGGAGAACCGCTGCACCACTGCACTGCGGGAGAACAAACCTACAGGGGCAGAGCTGCCACTGGGGTAATGGGAACGGCTCTCACAAAACCAGTCTCTCCATTCCTGGGTGTCTCCAGCCTGATCTGCAATGGGAACATACAAAACACATTCCAAACAGGAGCCCGGGAGCAAAAATTCATAACACTGGTAAGGAAAAAACCCTCTGAGCTCAAAGGCAATACTGGTTTTACAGCAAAGAATAATTAAACTCCTTCCTTTCCCAGTTTACAAATCATATGCACCTCACTCTCTCCAAGACATCTCCACCTTTCTGCCTCCACTCTCCCCTTAGAATCTCTTCTGCACCACAGACATCAACTTCTGTTACTCCCAAAATGGTCTGATACAAATCAAAAGCCTGAGCAACCTACTGTACACAGTTTTGAAGATCCCTGGTTTTCCACCTCTATCGGTAAGTCCAATGAAAGATATTAACTCTGCCAACAAAACTCCTCTTGCCCAATATAAATTAATAGAACTTAGTATATAAAGCAAATCAGCAATTTCTTCTACTAGCTGCTGTCACTGAAGAGAAGGACGTGTTTAGCTGCTACATCAGTTGTACGGGATGCAGTAGACTTACAACACCGATTGCCCTGGTATTGGGAAAAAAAGCTTTTCAATAAGCAAACTTGAAACAAATGCAATTTTCAAAGAGACTGTGAATTTCTGAGTGCAGATGCCCAGTCACATAAGCGGCACAAGCAGTGTGCTGGACCTTGGTATCTGGCCTCTAGCAGAACCAACACTTTCAGAGCAACATAAATGCTTCTCTTCTTCTAACTCCCCTTCACCTGCATGGCAGCTATAGACAGATCCGCAGGACGTAATATTAAGGGACTTCCTGCTAACAGGCCAGTGTGGGCTGACACCTCAACTTCATCTAAGCAGATATATAAACCCTGACTTCAGTAAGAGTCAGGTGCAGACACTGCAGCATGAATTTGTACGTATTGCTACATACAAGACTCTACAAATGACAGCTTCTTTTCTCTGAAGCCCATCACTGCAGAGGGGGATTGATGTCTCGATATTTTTTCATTTAGTGCTTCAGAACTGTGATACTTTGCTTTAGCGAGCACAGATGAGAGATCATAAATTCTTTTAAACACTAGAAGCTTAATAATAAATTCCTAATGAGGAGATTAAGCACTAACTTTCAAAACCAGAGCTCTGGACATCACTACAATGAAATAATATAAACTTTGGTTTAACGTAGGTTACATGCCCAATCTACTTAAAACCAGTTTCAGGAAAATACTAGCAGTTTTCTCATCTGACCACAATTTGAAATGGTAAAAGCTTTTCCTGCGTCACTGTAGCAGCCACATACTGCAACACAGTAACTCAGCACCACAGGTAACATCCAGCAAACACAGCTCTGCATTAAGAGCTTTGTCCAACCTGCCAAAAAGGCAGAGGCAACAAGAATCAGCATCAGACAGAAGTTGGTACCGTTCCAACACCATCTTAATCTGTCTAGGGAAATGCTAGAGCCAGGTTTTGAACAGCAACCAACAAAATCCCTGAGATAACCAGCAAACGTGTGCACTGAGCCTTCCTCCTGTGCACACTAGCTGCCGTCCACAGCAGTCCGAAACACCATTCACCAGTGACCAAACACACCATCACGGCTCGCTCCCACTGGAGGTGTGCCCTGCACCAGACTGCACTCCCTGCACACACGACAGAAGGCTGCATTTGAGGGTCTGGAAGGTGCCAGAAGGGGCAAGAGATACGAATGACCTCAAGCAAATTACGTTTTTTTGTATCCCAGTCCTGGAAAAACGTATGAATTGTTAAAGTTTACTGTCGTGGGTGATTTTAATTTCAGCTAAACCATTCTCAGTCAAAGTTAAGAAGGAGCTTACATTTTGAGAGGTTGGGATTTAAATTTCTTTTTGGGGGTGGGGGGGGAAGTGATGAGTAATTCTTTTTCACCCTTATATGAGAGAAGAGCAGCAACTACCCCATTTTATTAATACTGGAGATTAAAACACATATCACAAAAAAGATCTGCAATTGAACTGTAGGCCAACAACCAAAAACCCCTTTTCTTTCCCTGATTAGTCTCATAGCTGATAGCCATAAATTTAGAACCACACAGCAGATTTCAAATTTTCTACAAAAACTAATTAGAGTGTCCATTTGTACATACATAACACTGCCTATTTTCAGTGCATTTGTTACCCACTGATTTCCTGTAAAACTATCTTTAAGTCTTGGTTTCCTTTTGAGCTACTATTTCACTCCACAGATACAAAGGCAGCTATATCTGGAGAAACAAAATTAGTTATTCATTAGTGCACAGCAGCTCCATACAACAATCTCATGAGCTAGGGAAGAATCTGAGGCAATTGAATAATATATCCAGTTAGAGGGAGGCAGGTAAAGAAAAGTGGAATTTTGCCAAAGGATTAATACTCCTAATTTTGGAAGAGTAATACTGCCTAACGAGCATAAAGTACCTGACCTATACCTTGCCCAGAAAACAACAGATTCAGTAGCATTCCCTCATCAGACATTCCACATTACTAAGCACTAATTTGCTCATAACTTGGCATTAAAACATTTATTGGCAGGTCATCTTCGATACAGACTGAGAGAATCTGCCTAGTGAAGTAGGAGGCAAGAGAGCAACAGGCCACCTCTCCTCTGTTTCAAACTCTTAGGCAAGGAGAAATGTTTTCCCCCTACCTGGAGTCCCCATCTTGATCTTCTGTGGTGTCACCAGAGCTGTTCACAGCATATCGACTCCTTGGTTTATCTGAAGCAAAGAATAAAGACAACTTTTTCAAGGAACAATCTCCTTAAAGTTATGTTAAGAGTACATCATTGTAGTGATGTCTGTGCCCTTTTAAAAATTATCTATAAGGTAGATCTAAAAAAAAGTAGTAATAAAAGCAGAAAGCCCCTTCCTTTTTAGGTGGAAGCACTGGATCTTTTTTCTTCTGTTCTCACCCAAACCCACATAAAAAGTAGGAGAAAGAGGTTTACATCTTCAGGAATTAAAGAGGAAAAAGCAAAACATTCACAGGAGTAAATTTTCCCTCAAGTGCCAGGTTGGCAGTTAAAGAAAGAGTGGAAAATAAAATTCTGTGCAATGCATTTCCCTCCTTATTGCGAAGGTTTCAGGACCAGGATAATGCTCCAGAGGCCCCTCCTGCAGTGGCAGGTAGTGAAATCCTTTACCAACAAAACCCAGGAGGGGTGCAGGAGGAAAGCTGCCAGCCCCCCCCCAAAAAAAGAAACCCAAAAAACCAACTTTTCAGATTTTACCTATAAAAACACAAAGGGGGTTGAAGAGAATTCTCTTCTGGTAAAAAGTGGCTCATAACCTAGAGCAGGGTGTCAAACTCCCGTGACACCCAGCAGTTAGCGAGAGGCCCAAGTGAAACAGCCTCGTCGCTCCGGGCTGCTCCAGGCCACGCAGCAGGACACTCGCCCAGGACACTTGCCCAGGACACTCGCCCAGGACGCTCGCCCAGGACGCTCGCCCAGGACGCTCGCCCAAGGCACTCGCCCGGACACTCGCCCAGGACACTCGCCCAAGGCACTTGCCCAGACACTCGCCCAGGACACTCGCCCA